ATATCCATGATCCCAGTGCGACCCTACCTAGGAGTTGGAGCATCTAGGAAAGCAACATCTACATCTACACCGACAGCTACATTAACATCTACACCTGCATCTACATCTACATCAACATCAACAGCGAGATTCACATCTACATCTACATCTACACCTACATCTACACCTACATCTACACCTACATCCACATCCACATCCACATCCACATCCACATCCACATCCACATCCACATCCACATCCACATCCACATCTACATCTACATCTACATCTACATCTACATCTACATCTACATCTACATCTACATCTACATCTACATCTACATCTATCTACATCTACATCTACATCTACATCTACATCTACATCTACATCTACATCTACATCTACATCTACATCTACATCTACATCTCTACATCTACATCTACATCTACATCTACATCTACATCTACGAGGGTGCGCCGCTGGATCTCCCCAAGGGGGGGGGGGGTAGGACCCGCCCCCCCCCCCCCGATCCGTCGTCGATCCGTCGTCGGGGACCCCCCCCCCCCCCTTAGTCTCACCCTAACCCAAACCCCTAATCCTAACCCCAACCACTAACCCCAGCCCCAAAGAGTACTCACTACTCATTACTCACTACCCACTACTGACTACTCGCTATTCGCTACTCACTTCTCACTACCCCCTACTCACTACTCCCGATCCACTACTCACTACCCACCACCCACTACTCGCTACTCACTACTCCTTACTCACTACTCCCTCTTCCCTACTCACTACTCACAAACCAACACTCACTACTCCCTACTCACTACTCACTAATCACTACTCATTACCCATTACCCACTATCCACTACTCACTACTCACTACTAAATACTCATTGCCCACAGATCACTACTCACTACCCACTACTCGCTACTCGCTACTCACTACTCCCTACACAATACTGACTACACAGTACTCAGTACTCACTACTCGCTACTCCCATACTCGCTACTCAATACTCACTACTCACTCCCCGCCACTCAATATTCACTACTCACTACTTACTACTCCCTACTCATTAGTCACTACATAGTCTCTAGTCACTAGTCACAAACAACTCACTAGTCACTAGTCACTAGTCACTACCCACTACCCACGACTCACCAATCGCTACTCACTACCCACTATGCACTGCCCACTTCTTACTGCTCACTGCTCACTGCTCACTACTCCCTACTCCCTACTCCCTACTCGTTATTCACTAATCACTACCCACTACTCACTACTGACTACTCTCTACTCACTACTCACTACTCACTACGCCCTACTCGCTCCTCACTATTCACTACTCGCTACTCCCTACTCGCTACTCACTACCCACTACCACCACCTCACTACTCACTACTCACTACGCACTACATACTACTCAATACTCACTACTCACTACTCACTACTCACTACCCACTACTCGCTACCCACTACTCACTACTCACTACTCACTACTAACTACTCACTACTCACTACGCACTACGCACTACCCACTAATCACTAATCACTACTCGACACCCACTACTCACTACGCACTAACTCACTACCCACTACTCATTACTCCCTACTCCCTACTCAGTACTCACTACTCGCTACTCGCTACTCACTACTCACTACTCACTACTCGCCACTTACTACTCACTTATCAGTACACACTACTCACTATTCACTACTCACTACCCTACTCCCTACTCCCTACTCGCTCACTACTCACTACGCACTAGCTCACTACTCACTACTCACCACTCCCTACTCCCAACTCCGTACTCCCTACACGGGACCCCCCCCCCCTTTCCAACGCCAAGGGGGGAGGGGGGGGGTCTGCACCCCCCCCCCCCTTCAAGGGAGGGGGGGGGGTTCGGGACCCCCCCCCCTTAAGGGGGGGAGGGGGGGGGGGTCCGGACCCCCCCCCTTGAAGGGGGGGAGGCGGGGGGGGGTTCTGGACCCCCCCGCTTTAGTGTATTCAGGGAGATCCACTGGCGCACTTTCTACATCTACATCTACACTTTCGCATTGGTTTTGCTTTTGCTTTGCATTGCCTTGCCTTAGCTGTTGCTTTTGTTGTTGCTGTTGTTTTTGCTTTGCATTGTGTTCGCTTTTGCTGGATTTTGTTTTTGCTTTGCCTGCGCACAGACACACACACACGCATGTTTTCGCATTCGCTCACCGGGTGTGCTCAACATCTACAGTTACACCTACACCTACACCTACATCTACATCTACATCCACATCTTCAGCTAAGCTAAGCTAAGCTGAGCTATGCTATGCCATGCTATCTTATGTTATGGTGCGCTATGCTATGCTAAGCTAAGCTATGTTATGCTATGCTGCGCTTTGCTTTGTCTTGCTTTGCTGTGCACCCAGCGACAGCAGGCTGTTCAGCACTGCTCGCGGCTCCTGCAAGAGCTGCAGGCTGTTCAGCACTGCTTGCACTAGGTTCAACACTGCTCGCGGCTCCTGCAAGAGCTGCAGGCTGTTCAGCACTGCTCGCAGTTCCTGCAAGAGCTGCAGGCTGTTCAGCACTGCTTGCAAGAGCTGCAGGCTGTTCAGCACTGCTCGCGGCTCCTGCAAGAGCTGCAGGCTGTTCAGCACTGCAGGTTTCTGCTGTTGCTTTGCCTTTGCTTTGCTGCTATGCTATGCTATGCTATGCCGCGCTATGCTATGTTATGATATGCTATGCTTTGCTATGCTGCGCTATGCTTTGCTATGCTGCGCTATGCTATGCTATGCGATGCTAGGGTACGCTCGGCTGCGCGGTGTTATGCTAGGCTATGATATGCTGCGCGATGCTATGCTATGATATGCTATGCTATGTTATGCTGCGCTATGCTATGCTATGCTATGCTATGCTATGCTGCGCTATGCTATGCTATGCTAGGCTATGCTATGATATGGTATAATGCGCTATGCTATGATTTGCTATGCTATGCTGCGCTATGCTATACCATGATATGTTATGATATGATATGCTATGATATGCTGCGCTATGCTATGCTAATCTAAGATATGGCATGATATGATATAGCCTGTTATGCTAGGCTATGCTATGATGTGCTATGATATGCTTTGATGTGTTGCGCTATGCTATGCTGCGCCATGATATAGTATGATATGCTATGATATGCTATGCTATGCTGTGCTATGCTATGCTATGCGATGCTATGCTATGCGATGCTCAGCTAAACTAAGCTAAGATAAGCCAAGCTAAGCTAAGCTAGGCTAGGCTGAGCTAAGCTAAGCTAAGCTGAGCTAGGCTAGGCTAGGCTAGGCTAGGCTAAGCTAAGCTAAGCTAAGCTAAGCTAAGCTAAGCTAAGCTAAGTTAATTTAGGCTAAGCTAAGATGATATAAGCAACGCTAAGCTAAGGGAACGTCACTGGGGGAACCGCGGGGCGGGTCCTGGGGGAACCGCCCAGAGCGGGTTCCACTGCCCGGCCCTTTAAGCCCACACAGTAAGAACCCTTCTAGGCAGAGCCTAGGTAGGGAACAAACATAAAAAAATGCTAGGTGCAGGCGCTCAGCAGGCTGCAGTCACCGACACTGGCGTCGCTCTGGGCCGTGGATTCGACGTACTTGGAGTTCCTGGGGTCTGCTGAACTTGGCATGTTCTCCCCGACTGGTGCAGCCGGCGGTGCTGCTTCGACACCTCGGCGGGAACGTGCCCCGCCATGCGTGGCTTGTTCCCCCATCCTCGGCGAAAGCCCAGCACGCTGCTGCCCAGGATGCAGCCAGAGAAGCGCGCGATCGAGCCGGAGGCGCCGCGACCTGCTCGCCATATGCGGACGGACACTGGAGCGTTCCACTGAGCGTCGACCCACTGGAGGGGTGCACCCGCTGGAAGGGTAGGAGGCGGGGGGGGCGCAGCAGCAACAGCCGGAAGAACTGGAGGCGGAACGGCAGTGCGCCAGCTACACCATGCTCCGAAGCTGGCCAGGCCCACACGGGGTCCGGCGCAGGGATGGCGCGCTCTGCTCGCCAGGGGGGGCGCTTGCTGTGGGTGGCGGCGCTGGCCTTGGGGGAGATCTGGCCCCAGGGTCTCTCCAGCACGCCGACGTTGTGATTGTCTCACAGCGTGGGCCCTCGGAGATCTGGACCCCTTCCCCCGGACTGGCTTTTCATCCTGAGCCACTGCTTGGCCAGTTCAATCCCGAGCCACTTGGAAATGCAACCCTGGCCATCAAGGGATGCCAGGGAAATCAATCCTTGGCCTTCCTTCGCTCTTCTGCAGTGCCATCTGTTCTGCAGCATCCTCTGCGTCGCGCGTTCCACAGAAAAGCCTGGGACCCCGAGGCGCACGGCAGGCTCGTGCCGTGACGACCCCCGCGCGTTGGCTTCTGACGCCGCGTGCACCGTTCCATCTTGGACGATCGGCGGCTTCTCGACCGCCAGACCCCTCCACATTGGCCGATGCTCGGCCACTGGCGGCGCTCATCCCCGGCACGCCCGAGAGGCGGGGCCGCCGCCGCGCCGACGCGGCACGGACCTGCCGACACGACGCGCGCTGCCCCATTCAGCAGCCCCGCCGCCCGCCAGCGCTCCGTCCCCGGGGCGGCCGCGGTGGCCCGGGGCGGGTGGCCCGAGCGCGATGCCGGGTCTGCTCGCCCTCGGGGCGGCGAGGGAACCTTCTGCCGCAGCTCGTGGGAGCCTCCCATGCCATCTTGCTGGCCCTCACGAGTCGACGCTGCTCGGTGTGGAATCGATGCTCGTCGACGCCGATCGGCTCTGGGTCGGCGCTGTCTCATGGACTGCCAGGAGCTGGCGCGCGCGAGTGCACTCCAAAGACGGCACTTCGAGGACATGCAAAGCTCCCATGCGTTGCTACCAAACGAACCGAAGCCCACTGTCGTCTTCCAGCTTTGCCAGCTCGTCGCATACCTCGCACGCACCCTCTGGCCGAAGGCCCCATGCGGCCCTCCTGCATCTCCCCCTTCCCCGTGGTCCTCCTCCTGCTTCTCCCCCCATCCGCTAAGGTCGCCTCACGATGCGGGTAGATTGGCAGCGCCTTGCATGGATCCTCGTCCGCCGCGGCTGCATCTCCTCGCCCATTTTCCTTGCGAGCAACGCGCGGGCAAAACAAGTACACATGATGGGGATCCCAACGGGTGCGCTGATTCTTCCTCTAGAATGTGACGATGTGTGTGCGTCTGTGCGTGCGTGCATCCGTGTTTGTATATGTGTGCGTGTCCGCTGGCAGGTCTATGTGTAGAGTATGCACGTGTGCGACTCTGCGTCCGAGAGAGTCTGTCCGCCCCTCATGAATTTGATTGGGTATGTAGACGCATGCTGGCGCGCCTCCATGCGTGGATACATCTACCACTGCCGACGAACCTGCACGTTGTTGCAAATAAACCTCTTGGATTCGATGAGCAAGACATTACGATTAATTAAAAACTGGACGTACACTCCTGGGCCACCACCCTGGCCTTGCGCTGACGAGCCTCGGGGACACCCCATGTCCAGGACTGGACTCTGTGCCCCACAAAGGAAGGGGTTCGTGGTACTCCTCCGGGCGTTTTTTCTCCACACGACTTCTGCACGATCGGCCTAAAGATTAAGGAATACTTTGCAAGCCAAGCTGGTATCACCACACCCCGCCACCTTCCCCTCAAAAACACCATGCGGTGCACATGCGTTGATATATATATATATATATATATATAAAACATACAGATGCGTATATAGAGTACATCTATATGTATATATGCCATGCGGACAACGTGCGCGCGCCGCCGAGCGCGCATGACAAAATCATTCAAAACACAATTGCTTGTTTAACACGCTCAACAACCAACACATGGCCTTCAACGACAAATTCCAGACTCCTCAATCTCGCGCGCACTCGCTGAAATCGCACGCAAGCAAGATGTGTTCGACAATTTGTCAAATGAGAACATGCGGGCCACACGGGTACAAAACATGGAAGCATCGCGCACCCGCCAACTCTGTCAAATAACACCATGCGGGCCGGTGCGAGTCTCCACACGCGCACGCCGAAATCCTTCCACTACCGCATGTGTTCTCAGCATTTCAACACGGAGGTGTTCAGAGGCATACGAACACCCAGTAGATGCAACGATGAAGCATGCGACAACATATCAAGATTTCTCAGCGCGCTCACCTCCTCGTCTTTCTCATCCGCGCCATTGTTTTCACCATCGCTAGAGTCATCCTCCATCGTGGACATCATCGCCATCGTCGATGTCGTCGTAATCGTCATCATCGCCATCGCCACCACCACCGCCATCATCATCAGCATCATCAGCATCATCACCATAACGTGGATCGGAGGTTGGGGGGTGAGATCGAAGTGGAACGGAGAGCCCCCCTACCGGGAAATCGATTTCGGTTTCGTGTTCGTGCGTGCCGTGCGGGCGAGGCGAAGCTGCGTGGGCGGGCGAGAGAAACTCTCCTGTGGCTGAGGCGCGGCCGGATCAAATGTCTCCCTTCTGGGCGGCCGGGGGCCCGCGGTGTCCCGCCAGTGTCCCGCTGGTGTCCCGTGTGGCTGAGGCGCGGCCGGACCAAATGACTCCCTTCCGGGCGGCCGGGGGCCCGCGGTGTCCCGCCGGTGTCCCGTCGGTGCCTCGTCGGTGTCCCGATAATGATGATGTTGATGATGATCATGATGGGTGTGTTGATGGTGATGATGATGACGATGATGGTGTCCTGGTGATGATGATAATGATGCTGATGATGATGATGATGATGAGATGACGATGATGTTGATGTTCTGCCCGTTGTTGTTGATGATGAAGTTGGTAATGCTGATGCTGCTGATGATGATTATGGTATCCCGATGATGATGATTATGACGGTGGTGATGATGATGGTGATGGTGATGGTGTACCGATGATGATATTGATGATGATGTTGGTGATGATGATGCTGCTGATGATGATGGTGTCCCGATGATGTTGATGATGCTGTTGATGATGATGATGATTATAATGAGCTGATGATGATGATGATGATGATGATGGTGTCCCGATGTTGTTGATGATGTTGACGATGACAACGATGGTGACCATGATGGTGTCCCGATGATGATGATGCTGATGGTGATGATGACGATGGCTGTGTCTCGCTGGTGATGTTGATGATGTTGTTGATGATGAGATGACGACGATGTTGATGTTTCTGCCCGTTGTTGTTGATGACGATATTGGTAATGATGATGCTGCTGATGATGATTATGGTATCCCGATGATGATGATTATGACGGTGGTGATGATGATGGTGATGGTGATGGTGTACCGATGATGAGATTGATGATAATGTTGGTGACGATGATGCTGCTGATGATGGTGTCCCGATGATGTTGATGATGCTGTTGATTATGATGATGATGATGGTTATTAAATGATGCTGATGATGATGATGGTGTCCCGATGTTGTTGATGATGTTGACGATGACAATGATGGTGACCATGATGGTGTCCCGATGATGATGATGATGCTGATGGTGATGATGACGAAGGCTGTGTGCCGATGATGATGATGATGATGATGATGATGATGATGATGATGTTGCTGACTATGATGAGATGATGATGGGGATGATGATGATGGCCTGATGATGATGGCGTTGATGATGATGACGATGATGATGATGACGACAGTGTCCCGATGACGATAAAAATGATGATTATGATGATGATGATGATGATGATGATGATGATGATGAATGTTAGATCGATTGTGATATCGGTAGTGAGATCGATAGTGAGACCGAATGTGAGACCGATTGTGAGATCGATAATCAGATCAATTGTAAGACCGAGCGAATGAGATATATCGAGTGAGATCGATTGTGAGATCGATCGAGTGAGATCGATCGAGCGAGACCGATAGTGAGATGGATAGTGAGACCGATCGAGTGAGACGCTGCATCCTCCCCCCCCCGAACCTCCTTATCACCCGAAGGGTGGTCGTATAGGTAACAAAATAATAATCGTCATCAACGTCACCATCGTAATCGTAATCGCAATCGTCATCGTCGTCGTCGATGTCGTCGTCACCATCATCACTCGCCCTCCCGAGCCATGGATCTGCATGCGCAGAGTCCGCACCACTTGACGTTCGCGAGCAAGTTTAGATGGGTGACTGCACTCACGGCCGAGTTGAAGTGTGCCAACGAGTTGTAAGTGGGTGGGTGGAATGTTTGCTCAAGCATGGGAGGTGGTCACACGCGGTGCAGGTAAAATTTAGACCACACTGATTGCACTACATATTTTTGCCCCTCGGAGATTACACATCCAGCAGGCAAGAACTCACTGTTTGGGGCCCACGTCGGCCACCACACAATCTCACCTGAACATGTAGCTGCTATACCCGCCACCGTGCTGTCAGGCCCTGAGTAGAGTGTCCTCAGGTTCCCTGGAGGCCCAGGGGGCCCGCCCAAGAAGTCAGAATCGCTAAACAAACTTAGGATTTATGTTCCTGGCTTTGCAGTCTCAAGATCGTCCCAAACTTCCCCAGCCTCGGGCACTAGGTGTGTAGCGCGAGCGCAAGTTGCTAAGCTGCCGTTGCTGCCACAGCGCCATCCCAGAGGGACAGGCACCACAAGACAATCAACCACCACCATCCCTCAGCCTCCCTCTCGTGATCAGGCAAGAACCAAAGCACGAAACGGTGGACACTTGGCCCCGGACGCTCAAAGTTCAGTCCCCGAAGTGGTGCCCTGGCAGCACGCAGGGGCGTCCAGCGGCAAGGGCTGCGCTCGGCTGACCAAGAGCAGCTCCGGGAGTCCAGTTTCCGGCATCACGGCGAGGCGTCCGGCCTGCAAGGGTTGCGCCCGGATGCTCAGCGCAGCCCCAGGGATGAAGCTTCGGGGATGGACAGACCTCCCTTTAGTAAAACCTGGTTCAGTGAAAACGACCTGAGACCCAAACCTGGCGGGCGCAAGCCTCGAAAATCACGGCCACGGCGCCCTCTCGAGAACCGAGAACGGACAATTCACGAATCGACGTGTCACTGTTGGGGGTTCTGTCCACCTCCGAAGGCTCTGGCAGCACGAAGAGGCGTCCGGCCGTAAGTGCTGGACGCTCCAGGCGGAAAAACCTCCCCGGAGTCCGCCCAGGGGCCCAGGCCTCAAGCTTAGTGGACAGCAAGGACCTTCTCTGGGACAAGACTGGCAGGAGAAACGCCTGAATACTAAAGCGTCCGCGCTGGGAACTCGCGCAGCACGGCTGTGAGTTAAGGGGTAGAGATGGCTTCGCGATCAAAGAATAGTGACGACTCTCCTGGTAAGAAGTGTACTGTTACGCATTGCCACAACTGGGCAACGGACCCTTTGCGGCCAGGTCATATGATTTTATTTCAAGCGCCATATCATTTACTGAAAACGCCACCAAGTTTGAATTGGGAGGACCCTGGCAGAGACATCCATCCGTATATCTTTTTCTTCCAGACAATTTCCGATGTCAGTGAGCTTGCGCGGTCCATTTTCAACGGGTCATTTGTGACCGCGTCAAGAGCCACAAGGCTCAGTGAACATCGCCGTAAGCTCGAAACACTAGCTGAGATGATATGCGTGGACACGGAAAACACGTGGAAGGACACGAATCATCACAAGAACGGGTAAGCACTCGTTCATTCCATTTCTTTATGTCTATACAAGTCCTGTTCAACGTGCAGTAATGGCTGCGCACATCAAGCCACGAAGAAGCGCTGGTCCAAGCCTGCGCTCCTAGCCCCATGCATTTGCTGGGCACTTCAATCCACTGATCGAGCCAATGATCAGGAGGGAGTTGTGTATACATCTTTGTATTAGCACAAAGAGAGTTAAAGAGAGGAAGTATGGAGGCAGGAAGCTCAAGCGACGCCTGGAATCTCTCCACGCGTGCGCCTTGCAAGCGCGTGCGCTAGGCACATCCGCAGCTGCGAATTTCTTCCCCATGCCCAATCAGCACAACGAGGCCAATGTGAAGTCACCAGGCATACCTCGTCACATCTGCAGCGGGGCGAACGAGAGAGCAAAAAAGCTGACGGTGCCGCAGTGCGCAGAGCCTCCTGGAGGGGAGGCTGACGGGCGCAGGTCGAAGCAGGAAGGAGGAGCGAGAGAGAAAGGGGGACAAAAGGAGGGAGGACCGTCGAGGACATGGGAGGGAGGGCAGGGGACGAAGGGAGGAGGCGCGCGGGAAGGAAGAGGGTGGGGAGACAGGAGGCGGGCGGAGGGGGGAGAGGGAAGAGAGGGGAGTGAAGGTGGAGGAGGGATGGACGAGCCAGGAGGGAACAGGGGTGCGGAGGAGAGATGGCACAACAAGGCACAATCGAAAAACAAGGAAGGCCCGCGTGGGGAAGAGGGCAAGAGCTGGAAAGAAGGACACTACGGGAAGGAAGAACGGTAGAGAGACATGGACGAAACAGAAAGTAAGAAGGGGGTGAGGAGACGGGAGACGGGAGAGAGGAGTGATGCAAACTACGCGCACTCACGCCATAACTGACATCCTGCACCCCCCACCCATCCCTTCCCATTGCGCTGATGCGGTCTGTCCGCCGACGCGTGTCATAGCGGACCCGGAATTCCGAAAAGGACCCCGCCGTCTTTTGTGCAATCGGAAAAGAAGGGAGCTGCGTACATTGGAGGAGGAGGAGGAGGAGGAGGAGGAGGAGGATCTTATTACTCAGCGCCGCGCTGATGGGCCACGGGGATTCTGTGTGAAAGTGCTCGCGTGCTCTGCATAATTCGGCACACACCGAAGATTTAACGAGTTAAATCGGAAGCATCTTACACGGATCCACAACGAGGATTAGCTGAAGAAGAAGGAAGACGAGGACGGAGGAGGACGAGGACACACAGCAGCAACAGCAGGAGCTGGAGTAGAAGGAGCTGGAGGAGCAGGAGGACCAGGGGAAGGCAGAGGAGGGGAAAGGAGGGGGCGACAACCATGAAGAAAGACTGAAATGAAGAAAACTGGGCCGCGCTGGGGCGAGATTGTCATTCAGAACGACTGCGCCGATCCCAAAACGCGGCCCACGCTGCTGCAGCAACAACGTTTTGAAGCACCGAAAACAACCATACTGCATACTAAGTAAGCATGGGAAATGCAAGTGTTACACTCTGCGCGCAAAAAGCAACATGCGGAGAAGGCAGGAAACTCCAAGGCAATCTTCGAGGTCGAGGGAGAAGGGAGATGCCCCGCTAAGCGCGCGGACCCTGGTACAACGCGACGGGGGCGGAGCTGCTGCCAGCGGGGGCCAAGCAACCTGGAGCGTGTACCCCGAATTCGGTTGGTAGAAATGCTAAACGGGACGTCGGTTCGAAAAGCAGCGCGGATCCGGGATGCCCCGCTAGGCGCGCGGAGCCTGGTACAACGTGACGGGGGCGGGGCTGTTGCCAGGGCGGGCTGGGCAACCTGGGGTTTGTACCTCCAACAAATCTGTTAAAGGCTACACGGGATGGCGGATCGAACAACAGCGTGGATCGGAACTGCCCCGTTCGGCACGCGGAGCCTGGTACAGCATGACGGGGGCGGAGCTGTTGCCAGCGGGGGCTAGGCAGCCTGGGGATGCTCCGCTAGGCGCGCGCGGGGCCTAACACAACGTGACGGGGGCGGACCTGTTGCCAGCACGGGCTGGGCAACCTGGGGTTTGCACATTGACTAAAACTGCAGAAGATTAAACGGGACGGCGGGTGAAAAGAACATTTGGATCGGAGATGCCCCCTTAGGCGCGCGGAGCAGCGTGACGCGGGCGGGGCTGTTGCCAGCGGGGGCCGGGCAACCTGGGGCTCGTAGCCAGAATAAGTCTTTGAAGGCTCAACTGGATGACGGTTCGAAAAGCAGCGTGGATCGGAGATGCCCCGCTAGGCGCGCGGACCCTGGTACAACGTGACAGGGGCGGAGATGTTGCCAACGGGGGCCAAGCAACCTGGGTTTTAACCTCCAACACTTTAGTATAAAACCAAGCTGGATAAATACATCGGAGATGTACCATTCGGCGCGCGGAGTTTGGTACAACGTGGCGGGGGCGGGGCTGTTGCCAGAGGCGACCAGGCAACTGTGTGTTCGTACTCCAATTCAGCTTTAGAAAGATAAGCGGGATGGCGGGTCGAAGACTGCGAGCCACATAAACATTTGTTGACAAGAAACTTAACCAAGCTCGGACGTCGATTCTGGCAATCATGAAACATGGGAACAATAGATCTGTGCGCTTCATGCGGGAATTCCTCGAACAAATGGTTCGAACTAGGTCCCGAATAATCGAAAACTGAGCGTTTCGCGATGGATTTCCTCGCAACGATGACCTGGAACCGGGTTCGAAGTTATTTCGAAACCAAAAGGCAGCGACCGTTTCGCGCGGGACTTCTTCGAGAGGATGACTTGGAGCCCCGTTCGCAATCGGTTCGAAAGACTCGAAGGCGAGGGTTTCGCGCAAGCTTTCCTCGAACATATGATTTGGAACATGGTTCCGAGAAGGTCCGAACCCAGCGAGACAAGAGCACCGCAATAGCACATTTGGGCCAAACTGTACTCAATCCCATGAGCAATCGCAGAACGCTCTCTGGCAGTGAAGACCTCGTCCATTGTGTCGTCTACAGTGGGCGCACGGCCGCAAGAAACCGTCGCAAGAAACCCAACCCTGAAAATCCACAAAGTTTCTTGCCCAGGGTCTGGGTTTCTTGGCCAGGGGCACGAAGCGGAGAAACACAGGGAACCCTGGCCCGAGGAGTTTCTTCGCGGGTCGCGCTAGGAAAATGCGCGAGTAGTAGCTTCGATGTTGGCCCTCTGGATCCAGGCAGATGCAAGAAATTCAAGGTACCCTCGGCGCAGTGAGGTTTCTTGGGCGTCGGGGGCTGTCTAACGATTTCGCGATTGGCCCTCCGACTCCGCGCGGACGCAAGAAATTCAAAGTACCTTCGGCGAATCGGGGTTTCTTCGGCTTTTTCGCTTTTGGCCCTCCGCCTTCGCGCGGTTGCAAGAAATTCAAGGTACCTTCGGTGCAGCGGGGGCTCTTTGTGGCGGGGCGTTCTAGCAATTTCGCTGTTGCCCACCCCCCCCCGACTCCGCTGAGAGGCAAGGAATTCATTTTACGTACCTTCGGCGTAGTAGGGTTTCTTTGGTGGCGGGGCATTCAAACAATTTCGCTGTTGGCCCTCCGAATCCACACAGATTCAAGAAATTCAAAGTATCTTCGGCGCAGCGGGGTTTCTTCGGTGGCCGGGCGTTCCAGCCATTTCGCGATTGGTTCTCCGAGCCCGCGCGGATGCAAGACATTTGAAATGCCCTGAACGCGAGAACTTCTTGACGCGAGGGTTTCTTGACGCCCACGGGAAACCATCGCGGGCCGCGCGGAGCGAAGAAACCCAAGATGCCCTGACGAAAAACATCTGGTTTCTTGGTACGCGGCCCCACTGTATCCGCCGCTCTTTCAGTAGACAGCCTGGCTCAAACCATGCCGACGGTCGCTGACTTGAGAAACCGCTGTACATGTGAAAGATGGACAGACCAGCCCCCACGCAACAAAAAAAAACACCAGGTAGACAAGACCCACGTTGTGTCCTGGCACAAAACGCGCGCTGGCGAAATGAAGAAACGCGGCGCGACCTCCACCAATGATTGGGTCCGCCCGAACCCCGGCCGACGAACGGTACAGAGAGCACACAATGTCCCACTGCGGTGTGACAAAAGATCGCATCATGTTTCAAAAGGCTGGCGCAGCGTGGATGGGAGATACCACGTTCGGCGCGCGGGGCCTGGTAGAACGTGACGGAGGCGAAACTGCTGCCAGCGGGGGCCGATCAACCTGGGGCTTGAGCCTCCAACTAATTGCCTTATCAGGCTGAAAGGCATGGCGGTTCGAGAACGGCGAACGGCGTGGAGGTTCCTCGCAAAATAAGTTCGAACCAAGTGAAACACATGTTCAAAGCAATAGAAATCGGTTCGACACAATAACGTTTCGCGCGGAACTTTTTTCTCGAACATCTGATCCGAACCTGGTTCGAGCTCGGTTCGAAATAATCGAAATCTTTTTTGTTCGTGCGGGACTTCCTCGAAAAAATACAGCCGATAATATAATCAAGCAAATCATCACTTAAGAAACCCGGGCCTACTTTCCGGACATTTCTTAAGACGATCCTTCCCCAAGTCATCGTGTAAACGCTGGAGGGGCGAACTCGCTCAAGAAGCTGTGCCAGCTTTCCGGCCAGTTGGCCAAGAAACACTGGCCCAGCTTTTCGAGAGGAGGCTTCTTAATCAAATCCTCGGTTGCAAGCTGGAACTGGGGTCGAAGTCGGTTCGAACAGTATGACAGCGAACGTGTCGTGCGGGACTTCTTCGAGAAGATGACTTGAAACCTGATTCGTAATCTGTTCGAAGCAATCGAAAGTGAGCGTTTCGCACAGGACTTCCCTGAACATCTGATTTGGACCTTGGTTCCTAACATGTTCGCGCCCAGCGAGACAAGAGCAACACGATTGCAAAAGTGGCCTAAACTTTAACCACGCGCATATCGAATTCCTATCAAGCTTGGTGCGCTCGCGTGACATCCTACCACTCCCACCCATCCCTTCCGATTTCGCAATTTTCAATACATCCGCCGACGCGTGTCGTAGCGGACCTGGAACTCCAAAAAAGACCCCATCGTGCTATGCGCAATCGGGAAAGCAGAGCTGCGTACATTGGAGGAGGAGGTGGCGGATGAGCCGGAGAAAAACAAAAAATGAGCTGGAGCAGAAGGAGCGGGAGGAGCAGGAGGACCAGGGGAAGGCGCAGGAGGAGAAAGGGGGGGGCGACAACCATGAGGAAAGACTCGGATGAAGAGAAGTGGCCCGCGCCGGGGCGAGAGTGCCATTCTGAACAACGGGAGCAAAGCGCCGATCCTAAAATTAAGCACGCGATGCAGCGGCAGCACCATTTAGAAGGAGCAGGAACGGCCGTGTTGTAAACAAGTCATGGGATAGACAAATCTTTGAAGTCCTGCGTAAGAAGCACCACGCGGAGGGGGGCGGGCTGCTCCCCGGCCATCTTCGGGGGGGAGAGGAGAGCAGTACGTATGTTGGGTAGTTGTGGAGGGAAGAGAAACCTGGGATGGAAGAGAGATAGAGAGAGAGGGCATGATGGGGTGAGGAGTGAGGAAGGGGGGGCGGAGAGAGGCAGCCTCTCTCCCCAATTCCTCAGCCTCGGGTCTCAGAGGCGAGCTGAAGACAGTCCTGGGGATCCATATTGGAGCCATCTGGGGTCCTGTTGAAGCCCTTTTGTGGCCGCTTAGGGCTGTGTTGAAGCCATCTTGGGCCTTCCTGGTATGTCTTGGGATGTCTCGAGGCCGCCCTGGGTCATCTTGGGCTCGTCCGGAGCGGTCCTGGAGCTCTCTCGGGCCGTCTCGTCTTGGGCTCCCCCCAATGCCCTCCAGGGGGCCATCTGGGAAGCCTCTTGGGGCATCTCGGGGCCCTCGTGGGCATCTCTTGGGGCGCTTTCGGCTGCCCGTGGGCTCCTTCGAAGCCTTCTGGGCGCCATGTTGCACCGAAAAGAGAAGGGCCAGAACAATTTGCAAAAAACATATGAAGACCCACTTGCTTGTCACTGACTTTGTTGAGACCTCCTAGGGCCATCTTGAGATCATATGGGAGCCTCACGGGTCCTCTTGGGCTCTCCGGGAGTCGTTGGGGAGCTCTCTTGGAACATCTTGGGGAACAGTAGGGCCGTCTTGGCGGCTCCCCGAGCCTCTCCGTCCGCAGGGTTGGCCGATGCTCCTGTTCCAGGGTCCCAAAGGATCTCGAAGCAGGCCTGAACGCACCCGCAAAGCCGGGGCAGGGACCAAAGGCGAGGGGCAGAGGAGAAGGGAGCGCGCCCAGGAACACGAAGTACGACCTGTGCTCACGAAAAGCAAGAAGGGACAAGGCAGTCGTTTGCGAAGATGATTACTGACAGAGGGAACAGGAACCACAGCATGCGTGCTCATCGGGTCGTGGTCGCGCGGCCGCCAGCCTGTTAGGACGAACGCGTGCCGCACTGAAGCTTACACAACCTCGTCGTCGACCGCACTGCTTCGGATGCGAGCCAAACGACGCTCTGTGAGCGAAGAGGTCAGCAGGCTGCGCAGCCTGCAGCCGAAAAGTGCGAGCTCCTGGGGACCTCACCTGCCAGACAGAAGGGACGCGGAGGCCGCCGCCACGACGCGGGCCTGCACTGGTGGGAGGCCGCGGGCCCTGGACGCACGCGGCCTCCGATCCACGACGAGAGCCTTCTCCGAGACGCCGGGCGATGGGCGCCGTTGGCCCCGTGCCTGGTGCCGGAGGAGGGCGCCCGAGGCCAGTGTGGGCCGTCGGCCCCACGCCTGCCATCAGAGGGGGCGCGCGAGGCGGGGCGCCAAAGCCAGACGCCGCCACGCACCGCGGACCCACGGGTCACGCGCCCTCCAGCTGCCGCCGCAGTGCCTTCACGTCGATGGAGCGCGCGGGGCCTCGGAGGTGGGCGATGCCGTCGATGAGCTCGTCCTTGCCTATTTTGCCGTCGCCGTCGTGCGCGAGGATCAGGTCGAAGAGGAGGCAGCCGTCGCTGATGTCCAGGTTCATCGACGAGAGCCAGGTGCGGATCGCGGGATCGCGGAGCACCCTGGCGAACTCTCGGCGGCCGATGCGCCCGTCGTGATCGAGGTCAGCGTGCTCGAAAAGGTCCGTCATCTTCTGGCGGTGAATGTGGTCAGCCCGCCTCTTCTTTGCCACCATGACATCGTTGTCCATCTCTGTAGCTGAAAACGTTTCTTGCATAAAAACGGAGTTCAGTATGCCGATCATGGCGAAGCCGACTGTCAGCTTGTAGAGAATAGCGAAGAGCACCCACCATTCGTGGATGTTCTCCATCAGAAAACGAGTTATCGTCGTCCAGTTTGCAAGCGCAAGCTCGAACATTGACATCATGCTTCGTGTGTACGATCCAAAATACATGAATGCCTCCACCTGCTGGTCCTCTGTCATGGAAGAATATTCATGTAAATACCTATCGCGGACGATCCTTGTGATGACCAGCGCAAAGACAGTCAGGCTGGAGAAAAGGATAACGATTGCCAAACAAGCGCTGGCCACGCAACTCCGCAGGGCCGCCGCCATCACCAGAATGGACTCAAGCTTCTCTGCGCTCTCGAATATCCGGAGAATTCGCACCGTCTTAGTCAAACGTAGGGTACGGAGCACTTGGATGTTCATGTCCACTTTGACCATATCGCTCAAGATGATGGACACAGCCGTGATCAGGACAACAAGAAAATCTAAAACGCACCTCCAATCGTGCCAGAACGATGATCGCAAAGCAATCAGCAGTAAGACGACCTCGATGGTAAAGACGGCAGCAAAACCAATCTCCAACACCTTCATAGCGTTCTCCATGGTCCTGTCGCTACCAGAACCCATCTCGGCGTAGACGCCCAGGCGGTAACCCACGAGACCTCCAAGGTATTGCTCTTCCACGATCATGTTTACCGTGTTCAAACATATACAGAGCAGGAAAAAACCCTGCGTCTTCTGCGAGCTCATGAATCTCCTCACTTTATTGACGCAACTGTTGGAGCTGTGCGAGCCCGGCAAAGCGGCAGTACTGCGGAGGCCCAACACGTCGGATACGTTCTTCCCCTGCTCGAGCCCATCGCTGGCCTCGGCCAGCATTCGACCCATCTGAGATCTTGATGTCACGGCAGACCCCGTCAACGTAGCCGCCGAGGGCAGGTGATGGACCACGCTCGGAGTGACGCTTGGCCGCGGCGCTGGCTCAAACGTGCCACTGTGCGACGTGTCCACCAGGGCCTCCTTCAGCGTCTCGATGTTCCTCGACAGGGCCGCAAAGGCCACCTCGGGCGGCACCGGGGTGCCCGCCGCCAGCATCTGCCCCGTCAGGGCCAGGTGGCTGCCGCACAGGGCCAGGAGCTCCGAGTGCAGCTCGCCCGTGCCGGCCGGCTGCGGCTGGGGCGCGGCGTGGCGGCACGCGGAGCTCGGGCTCAGCGACATGTCCTCCCTGCTGAGCGTCTGCGCCGTCGGCACCGCCTCCACCTCCGCCTCCTCCCCTGGCGCCAGGGCCATGGTCGACACCGCCCCGCGCGCGGCGAGCGGGGGGAGGGGGGCGGGGCCGGCCTGCGAGCATGGGCGCTCCTGGAGCCCGCGCCTGCGAGGTGCCCCCGACACATCCTGGGGCAGTTTCTGGAGAATCCAAGCGCGGCATGAGCATAAACTGCCGGAGCTCCGCGCGGACTTCTTGGATCGGCGCTGGGCCCCCCTGGCGGCGCCCCCGGCGCCGCCCCTGGCGCGCTCCGCGCGCCAGGGAGGGGGGTCCAGCGCCGGCGCAAGAAATCCGCGCGGAGCTCCATTAGCTAATGTTTATGCAGCCCTTTCCTCGTAGAGCTTTGAGGCTTCCTGGAGCTGACCTGGTCCACGATCGGCGAGCACGCTTATCCGCATCCACGCCCTCGCCTGCCCTCGTGGGCCGGGCGCGCGATCCTGCGGCTACGCTCCGCGCGGGTCCTCCGCGCCGGGGCCGGCCTGCATCCATGGGGCCACGGCCAGGGGGTCCCGACCGCAGGGCAGCGGGTATGGATAATGCGGGATGACGATAAATAATAAAATGGGAGAGAACGATCAAAACATAATCTTCTGCTATTTCTGCATAACTTTCTGACTGGAGGAGAACGGTTAAAACAAAATAGTTGTCCAGCCCGCGGCCGGTTTTTTCTAATCGTCATCCTGGGCGCCGCCGCGGGAACACGACCCCCAGTCATTTATTAATCGTCATCCTCCATTATGGATATGTCTCCCAGCCACAGCCGATCCTGGGTCGGGGTCGTGCTGACCCGAATCAGCCAAGGCCACCGCGCGAACCCTGGCCGCCTCGTAGCTCTCGTGTCCGGATCAGCGGATGGGGTTCGCAGACCCAAACTGATCGGGCGGGGCTGGGGCGCGGATAAGCACGTCACAGAGCGTTCCAGAACGCGCCGAGAAGGGCGCGGCGCCCGAGGCATGGCTCCAGAGCCGCTGGATCTCAGAGATCCTCGCTTGATCCTCACCCGATTCTGCCCTCGTCGTGGCTTCGTCTGAGCTTCGCCAGGAGGGGGTCCGGAGGGACCCGCGGGCCCCCGCTGCGCGCGCGCCCCGAGGGAGCGATGCATGCCAGAGTTCTCCGGGCGGGGCGGCGGTCTCCGCTGCGCGAGCGGGCAGCTGTCTGCGCATCGGCTGGCGTGCGTGCGTGCCTGGGAGCGTGTGCGCTGTATAAGTGCGTCGCCGGAAGCGAGGCGGGGAAGCGAGAGGGGGAAGGCCTTCTCGGAAGGCGGCGGGCCTTCTCAGAAGCCCCCGCGCCGGCTCACGGGTGTTTTCTTGGTGTCTTCGAGGAGGGCTTAAACGATTTCTCAGAGGGCCGGGGGACTTCCGAGCATTCTGAGAAGGCCGGCCCGTCTCTCCTCGTGCTCCTCCTCCTCCTCCTCCTCCTCCTCCTCCTCCTCCTCGCTCGCCGACGGATGTGTTGGAGAGGGGGGGGGGGTTGGCGTATTGTGGGAATGGAAGCGCGGGCTTCTGCGCACGCCTGCCGCGCGTCCAGCTTCCAGGTACACATGCGATCGCGCGAGCGTGAGGACATACGCCCTCCCCCCTCTCCCCTGCCCCCTCCTCCCTCCCCCCTCCTCCCTCCTGCCTCCCTCCTCCCTCCTCCCTCCTCCCTCCTCCCTCCTCCCTCCTGGGTCCGCAGGCGCCTACATGCCGTACGTGCCTGGATGCATACATGCAGGCACGCGTTGAGCGTGCCTGCCAGAGTGCAAGCGTGTGGGCCTGACGGCAGGCGCATGCCTTCGTCAGTGCGTGCGTTTGCGCATGACTCATTGCCCACGCAAGAACGCAAGCACCCACGCCTACCACCGCGCTGCGGTGGTGCGTGACAGAACTTGTCAGTACCTTGTGGGCTGGCGGCGCGACCACACGCGGACGCGGTTGATAACCCTGCACAACCCGAAGCTGGGAGGGAGGAAAGAAGGAGGGGAGGGGCTCGCCTTGAAATCGAATCCCTCAGACGCATATCCCGCCCACGAAGGTGCCTGCGCCGAATGGGGGCGCAGAAAGATACCCACACCGCAACTCCACGGACCTCTCCTCGGGTGCGTCTGGACCAAGACTTCGAGGCGAACCCAGCCGTGGCGGCGAGGGAACGGCAGCGGTCTTGCGATGGTGTTGCTATCTCTTCCGCCACTGGATCGCTCGGCTGTGCACGCGGGTGCGCGCGCAGGCTCCCAGGGCGCGCACGGCCGCCAGGGCGTGCAGTGCACGCGCGCGCGCCGTGCGCCGCGAGGCCGCGCCCGGGGGCCCTCCGCCGCAGGCGCGCGCCGCGCGGCGGGGGGCGCGTCCTGCGCCTGCTCCGCGCCAGGGGGCTCTGCAGGGGGCGCCGCCATGCGGCGGGCGGCGCCCCGGGCGGCCGTGCCCCCCGATCCGCTGCGCAGCCGCGAGGGGGGGGAGGGCGAGAGCGGGAGGAGGAGGAGGAGGAGGAGGAGGAGGAGGAGGAGGAGGAGGAGGAGGTGGAGGAGGTCCCCGCCCACCATCGGTTCTCGCGAACCGATGGGAAGCGCGGGGGCAGGGTTCGGGCTCCGCTGCGCGCTCGAGGAGCGCCGAGCCCCTGCCCCCGCCGCGCACCGGGCTGCCTGCACCGTTGTGATCGGCGAGGGCAGGGTTCGGATGTCGCCGCCGAGGGTGGAGGAGGCCCTGGGACACACAAATAAACACACACACACACAGATAACAGGACTCCCCAGATTTTCTGATATTTTCCAGTTGTTGTCCTCCCCCCCCACTTCCCACAGTTTCCCACATATCCCGACGATGACCTGTGTCTGCGTGTGTGTGTGTGTGTGTGTGTGTGTCTGTGTGTGTGACTGTGTGTGTGTGTGTGCGTGTGTGTGTGCGTGTGTGTGTGTGTGTGTGTGTGTGTGTCTGTGTGTGTCTGTGTGTCTGTGTGTGTGTCTGCGTGTGTGTGTGTCTGTGTGTTTTTTTCCCTCCCGAGAGGAGAGGGGCGGTCCTGGGCGGGAGCGGGCGGGGGAAGGGGGCGGGGCTGCCCCCGCATCGGGGCGTCGCCGGCGCGCGTCGCGACCGTCCTCGGCTGCCCTCCGAGCTCTCTCGGCCCGCGGGAGGCCGCGCGCCAGCCCCGGGGGGCGAGAGGCCCGCACGGGTGGGGCGATCGAGAGCACAGTCGGGGCGTTGACCTAAGGAACCCTAGATAAGGAACGAGGCTCCTTTTTTGTTTAAAGTTAAACTTCGATTTCCTACATAAGTGAAACTTTGTTTAACGAGGCCCCTTTTTCCTCTACATAGGTTAAGCTTCGATTTCCCATCAAAAACCTCCGGAACACCTGAGGCAAGCTGCGAAACAATCAGGGAGCACGGAGCCCCTCCTCAGCGAAAAGGGTTCCTTCTTCAGCGCCCCGACTGTACCACGGGGGGGCCCACGGCACGACAAGACTGCAACGCCTGAGGAGAGGGCGGATTGTTGCAGGACAGGGCTCGGGCCGAACGAACGGGGGGCGGATGGGGAAAGGGGAGGTTACGAGATCTGCTGCGTGCAGCTGGTTTCGGCCCCGCCGCCGGGCCCATTTCCCGATGCATGGGCGCCTCCCGGCGCCGGGAGGCGCTGGGAAAATCAGCTACAGTGAGCTGAATCTCACCCCCCCCCCTTTGCTATCCCCCCCCCCTTCGCCCGGCCCGAAGGGCAAGATGTGGAGGGTGGAAGAGCCAACGGAAAGGGAAGGCGAGGGGCGGAGGGGCAGAATGCTGTGGCAGAGAAAACGGGAAATGGGGGTGGGCGGAGGCGGCATGCAGGAGGGACAGGAGGATGCCAGCAGGATGGGTGGGTTTGACCGACAAGTGGCGCTTAGCTTATCCTCGTGGTCAGCCAACGAGGCCCGTGCTTTCTGGTGAAGACTACCCCCCTTTCAGAAATATGGATCGCCAAGACGCCCCGTTCGCGATGCAGCCTGGAGGGCCAACATCATGATGAAAATGGAGAGGCACCTCAAAATAAAAGGGTTCCGCTGACTCCCGCACAAACGAACGACCCGCCCAGTGTCGCCCCGCGTCACGCTCCGACGGAACACCCGAGGGATTCCGCGGGATAGAGGGGGAGCATGCCCTGCAGCATGCCACCAGGAGGCTGGAAGCACGCATGCCTGGATTCGCATGGCTCCGCGCTGCGCGCAGACAGCCCCCCCGAAGGGCAATCCTGGCTGGCCTCAGCGGGCCCCCCGAGAAGTCCCAGCGGCTCCGCGCAGCCCCGGGGGGCGATCTCGGCACCCCGGCGCCGCCTGCCGCGGCGCTTCCGCGGCGCTCCGCGCCCCGGGGTTGGGGCGTCGAGGCCGCCCCCCGGGCCACTCGGGGGGGGGACCTGCTGGGGCCAGCGGGGACCACTCGGGGGACCTGGCAAGGCCAGGGCTGCCTGGAGGGGGGGCTGGCTGTCTGCGCGCAGCCCGAGGCCTCACCACAGGCCGCGCGCAAGGGACACACTTTGGCGCCGGCGGCTCGGCGGAGGGACGGCGCTGGCGGAGAGGCACTGGTCAGGGGCACGAGCGCGAATGAAGCCGCGGTGCACGAGGGGAAGGAGGAGGCGCAGGCGCAGGACGCACATGCGGCATGCCAATGTACCAGGGCACAGGAGCGTCGAGCACTGGAAATACACCTGGCCACACGCGCATCCGGCTCTCGCCCAGGCCAGCCGGCCGGCCACATGATGCGCGTCCAACTTCGTGGCAGCGCGTGGAACTTCCAGAGCCGTGGGCATCGACATCGCCGTGGCTGGCTCAAGGGCAGCGAACGCATCCACATCCAAGCCCTCGCGGTCTGGACTCCAGGGCGCGATTCGGTGGATACGCGGTCGCACGGACACGTTCCGAGCGGGACATCCGCGAAGACATGCCACACATTCGAAGGGGTCGCGGCCCAGGGGCCCGGCCCGCGAGGCCTCGGATACGCACAGGTTTGTCGCCCACGAGTGGCCGCACCTCCCGCCCAAATGCAAGAACCAAATCCGACCGAGCTCACCACGTGCGGCAATCTGTCCGTGACCGTGAGACGCCCACACCAAAGGACGGCCCCCCCCCCGACCCTTCTCCACGCTTCGTGGAGAGGGCAGGCACACTTTCCAAGAAAACGTGCGACGCTCTCTGGGACGTCAGATGGCACACCTGCCATTGAGTCATCCCTGCTCAACGCTCTCACGGCGGCTCTTGTCCACTGCCATCTCATCCACCGCGCTGCTGCTTGGCACCCGTTGAGCACTCATTTAACGCATGCGGGGGGGGGGGAAGACATCAAGAAAGTAAAACTCCGGGCACCCGCTGAGACATTTCCGACTCGAAGCTTCGGCAAACGAGTGCCATCATATTTATCGTGGGTTTCTTGCGGCATCCAATTCACATGAGGGCCCATGATCGAGCATGCCCACCAGCCGAAGCTGAGTACCCATGCGTAAGAAACGCCCTCAATCACTTCCCCGAACTGGCGAAGTCGGAATCGGCCTCGTATTGGCCAACGCTGGCATCGCCTCAAAAGCGGGACTGTGTGTACGCGTTGATTTATAGGCGCCGCCAAATCATGCTTCACATGGGCTAAGCATTGGGGCCACATTCTCGGAAATCAAGTCCGTCGCCACCGTGGAACTCCTGCGTGTTTAATTCCGGAAGGGCCGACCCCAATGCGATGAGCTTGAGCAGGACAACGAAGGCGCCTGTCGTCGGGCCAAGGCCGCGGGTGGCGCCAGGCATACTTTTCTGCATAGAGCTGAGGTAAGCACCAAGCACGAGCTTGGTATAAGCCTGGCCAGGAAAAACATGATGCCCAAAGAGGCAGGGAGGGACGGTGCGCGACTCCCTTGCGCACCTCGTGTGACCATCGTCCGTGCAATCCACCGCCCCAGCCCGCAGCGGCACAACAGATTTTTGTTGTCGGCGGCGTCTCGAATCCGAGTTGCGGGCGGGCTAGTGTGGGGGTCGTTCATCGAGAAACCTTCCACAAGATACCCAACCCTGGGATCCCATGATGTCCCTTCATTTGGGGCGCGGGAACTTCACGCTTTCCGCGGCAAAAGCAATCGAAACCCAAAAAACCCAGGGCACCCTGGAAGCAAGCAGGGTGGTTCTTGGCATGGGTCTCCATTGTGAGCTGGCGCACAGGCCGCGCAACGATTTACATGCGATCGAAAATATCACTACAAGATGTCCAACGGGGGCGCGCTCTCCGTCGATCGCCGAACTCCACGAAGGGTGCCCCGAAACTCCTGAGAGCCCCTGGGCGACGGGAGGAGTCAGAAACCTCTGCACGGGGCAGCCGTTGGCAAGCTCACGCTGGTCTTTCATTTCGTGCGCCTCCTGCGCTGCACCTGCTCACGATGGCCGTCATGATGCGTGGCCCGTGCGAGAAATCCTGACCCCCCCATAAGACGCATCTCTTGGACGGCAAGTCCGCTGGTTTCCGCCACCTTTCGCCCAAGAAAATATGCAAATATCCTGCTTTATGAAATTCGCGGTAGCGCCCGTGACCAGCCCCGCACCCCGCCCCCCTCCCCCCTCCTTCCTGATCACCCCCCTCCCTCCTCCCGGATCGCCAAGAATGTTGTGTCATTGTATGCATTGTATACAAACAAACACCGCCCGCAAAGCCCACGCTGCAAAAGCACAAACAAACAACCAATGCATCATTGCACCGTTTGGAAACTGTGTGTGTTTTTGTTGTTTTTCTGCATTGTCTTCTCCTCTTCGAGATAAGGATGCGCTCGCAGAAACCAAAACACAAAAACACAGCCCGCCCAACCGACATACCTATACATATACATATATTTGTATACATATATTTGTGCGCAAGACTTGAAGCTCGCTGCGCTTCGCTCCGCAGTCTTGGTCTAGCGCACTGCGTGCGAGGCGCGGGGGGGAGGACAAACGGGCGTGTTGGGCCGAAACACAGCTATACGTGGAGGCAAAGGGGGCTGCGAGAAACGGCAAAACACGTGGGGCGGTGGAAGAGGTGCGAGCCGTTCGACGACGGCGACGACGTTGTCGTCGTCGCTGTCGTCCTCGCCGCCGTCGGTCATCCTGAGGTGGTCTTAGGCCTCCTGGAACCGCCTTGGGTCGACGTTGCCGTCTTCGTTGCTCGGCTTCGGGAGGAGGGGCGTCGAAGGCCTTTTTGATACCCCTCCTCCTCTCTCCCCAAAGCGGACGCCACATCAGAATGTCCGCGGACGACCGATGCCTGCAAGCTACACAGAAACGCTCAATCGACGAGTCGGGGGTACTGCAGACGACCACTCGGCCAGCCGACTGCGCTGCGACAGTATGGGCCGGCGGAATGAGCGAAGCGACTAAATGAATAAGGATGCGCATGCCAGAATTACGAAACGAAAGCATCCCAGCACCACCTCACAACACATAGAAACTGACATTGTTTAAAAGAGAAAGCATCGTTGCCCCATGTGGGGGACATCTTCTCCTCGAAATAACGGTGCACTTGCAGCACTCAAAAACAAAATCATCCCAGCCCCCCAAAACAACAAAACATCGTTGCCCCATTTCGGAAACAGTATGTTGTTGCCCGGTCCTCTCCTCGAGATAAATATGAATTTGCAGTCATCGAGAAAAAAACATCACATCCCAGCCCGCCCGCTAGAAAATGCTTTGTTTCCTTTAATAAAAGAGTTGTAAAGAACGAACAAATCAACTGTGCTTGTTTGGAGCAGGCGATGCATGTGAACAGAAATACGGATTCGAATGGACGTACAAGAGATATGCACTGAATCTCTATCATATGCATATCACACAGATATCACATATATTTATCTATATATATATATATATATATATATATATATATATATATATATATATGAATAAGTCTATATACATAACTTGCATATCTTTTGAAGGATCGATTTCGGTGGTCCTCTAAGCGGGGTCTGCCGCCCTGTCTGGGGCCCGGGCACGACTATTTCTCCGAATTGGGAGGAGGAGGAGGAGGAGGAGGAGGAGGAGGAAAAGGAGGAGGAGGAGGAGGAGGAGGAGGAGGAGGAGAAGGCGCGCTCTCTGAGTGTGGCCAGAGGGAGGGAGGAAGGAAGGATGGAGGGAGGAGGGAGGAAGGAAAGCACTGGATGGTGGCAACTGGCGATTTCAGGTGTTAAAGTCAGAGTTGAGGAGACACGTTGGCCGAAGGACCGTGGGGAGGTCCTCGGCCCCCTCCGGTGCCTGTTGACGGCATGGTGGATTGGTGTATCAATGGGAGTGGGAGCAAGGCAGACCCTATGATCGGGGGTGGAGCCTATGGTGGTCACCTCAGAAGGGACAGACGCCTATGATCATGGTCCTCGCGGGGAGAGGTGAGGGAGGAGAAGCCGATGCCCAGAAGCGTCAGGCCATCAGTGGAGCCGAGGCCGTACCGCGGGAACCCAAAACAAGGAGAGCCTGGATGAATCAGAAATTGTGCCCAGCCCTGGGGGCGGGGAAGGGGAGAGGGAAGGGGACATGGCTTGGCCCACCGTCCTACCAACCCTGGACACAAACGAGCCGACCTGACAGAGCACGCGCAATTCAAGCACGCGCTGAGTCCACCTCCGAAGCAGCAGATTGCTGCCACTCGCCGTGCAGACTCTCGCCACAGGGGGGAGGAAGACGAGGAGGAGGCCGTCGAGAATGGAGGCCTCTCATATAGGAGGAGGAGGAGGAGGAGGAGGAGGAGAAGGAGGAGGAGGAGGAGGAGGAGGAGGAGGAGGAGGAGAGGGAGGAGGAGGGGGGGAGGAGGAGGAGGAGGAGTAGGAGGAGGAGGAGGAGGAGGAGAGGAGGAGGAGGAGGGAGGAGGAGGAGGAGGAGGGGGAGGAGGAGGAGGAGGAGTAGGAGGAGGAGGAGGAGGAGGAGGGGGTGCGAGTAGGTGCGGTAGGAGGATGGAGCCGCATCGGCGACGTCAGCGATGCACTGGCGCCATCGGCGTGGAGAGAATCGGGCTCCACATCGAGCCGCGTCGCCGATGCATCAGCGATGCATCGGCGATGCGGAGCGATCCTCCGACCCCCTCAACTCCGACCCCATCTGGGAGGCCTGAAGAGACTCTTCCCGCACCGCCTGGATTAGAGGAACAAGGCGAAACAGCATGAACATTAACTTTCGACGGTCCGCGCGGATTTCTTGGATCTGCGCTGGCCCCCCCCTGGTGGCGCCCCAGGCGCGCTCCGCGCGCCATGGAGGGGGGGCCAGCGCAGATCCAAGAACACCGCGCGGACCGTCGAGAGTTTGCGCCTGTGCCGTGTTCTGCTCTGCCGCGCATCCGAGGAGGGACGCGCGTGCTACGCGCTGGCCGCGCCCGCGCCCGCCCCCGGGAGCAGCCCAGCTAGCAGCACGCCCGCGGGGCCCGCGCACCGCTGCCACCGCAGCCGCTCGCCGCCCTCGTCGACCGTCACCGCGCGCACGCCGGGGGAGCGCTGGGCGGCGAGCAGCAGGCGCCTCTTCTTGGGAGGGCGGCGGCTGACCCCCCCCCTGAGCTCCGCGCGCCGCACTGCTGTTCGCACCCCTCGGGCGATCTCACAGGCAGGTCTCGCAGGCAGGGCGGGGACGTCAGCCCTGCTCTGCAAGCTCCTCGGGTGCTGATCTCTACCCTGCTTTGCCATCGCTGTTTCCGCCATTCAGTTGGGGAAACATCGGCCCTACGCTTCCGAGGCGAACATGGCCGCCTTACTTTTTCGCGTCGTTTGGGGTGCATTTCCGACACACTTGCAAGTCGGAAAATCAACCAAAGGACGGCGGATCCAGAGTCAGCGGGAACTCTGACAGATCGACCTGGCTCGATTAATGCCGCAGAGAGATGCGGTCTAGGGCTCTGGTAGCGATTTTGCACGATGTTGCATGTTTTCCGGAGGCTGTCAACTACAGTAGGGGCCCGACCACAAGAAACCTTCCACAAGAAACCCAAACCTGAGCCCCAAGACGTCCATTGATTCTTGGTGTAAGAACGTCACGCTTTCCAAGGCAAAACCATCGAAATCCACGAAATCAACGGCACCCTTGAGGCAAGCATAATGTTTCTTGGCATGGGCCTCCACTGCATACACCTGCACCGATACTGCCAAGGCCAGTTCTGGGCCCAGGATCAGTAAGTACGTCTCCCTCACCAGGGCAGGAGCGGTGGGTGCACCAATCCTGGGCCCAGAATGGGGCTGGCCAGGATCGGCGCAGGCGTACACAGTCGACCCGTGCAATAAGGACGCGCGATGAGGATGCAAGGGCCCGTGGAAGGCCGTTTCGAAGCTTTTCGAGCGGAGCGCGGCCAACGAAGGTGGCCAAGCATGGACCGAGGAGGCAAGGATGCAAGGGCACCATCGGAAATCTGCCCACGCTTCCTATGCGGGCTGGCTGTAGTTGGCGCCCTCGGATTTTTGCTTTTGTGTGTGGCTTTTCCGCCAGCGCAGTCACTCTGCCTAGCCGCCGACGCAAAAAGTGTGTGCCTGTGTTGTGTGCGTGTATGTGTGTGCGTGTGTGAGTGTGTGTGTGTGTGTATGTGTCTGTGTGTGTGCTGGTGTGCTGGGGGGGGACCGGATGACCAAATCGGAAGATTGGGCGTCACGAACAAAACCGCGATGGCCAGTTTTTCAGGTTTTCGACCTCTGCCGGCTACTTTACGCGTCGGCGGCATAGGCAGAGTAACTGCGCTTGCGGAGGGCTAGCGAATTGCGCCACAATGCAAGAGGCTGGAAAATGGGCCCAGACATGCGACGTGCTGATTTTTTCAAGACGGCGTTCCCGAAGGCCAGACCCTTTGCCCGGGGCTGGTTTTTCATCCTGAGCTGTTTTTTGGCGATCCCAGGGCCCGGCGAGGGCCCCCAAGGGCCGAAGATATAGAAAAACCTGCCGTCCTCACTTTTGCGCGACGCGATCATGTCTGGGGGTGCAGGGCGGGCGGCCGAAGGAGGAGGAGAGGAGAGGGGCCGCTCAGAGCGACCTCTGCTGGCTGCACTTGTGGATGCCACGACAACGGACACCCTAACAGTCCTATCATCGAATTAAGCACCCTAACAGTCCTATCATCGAATTAAACATGTGTTTAAAGTGTAGGAACACTTTCTGAGCATGTTCAAAACATTTTGAATGTTTAGAACTCTTTTGAAACATCTTTTAGACATCTGGAAACTATTTGGCAGCACGCCTCCTCTCCATTGATCGACTTCCACAGCGCGATCGTGTCTGGGGGTGCCGGGCGGGCGGCCGAGGGAGGAGAGGGGCCGCTCAGAGCGACCTCTGCCGGCTACGCGCAGGGAGTGGCCCAGGCGGGGGCTGCCACCGGGGGCGCGCCCTGCCGAGCGGCCCGCGCGCGCTGCGGCACTAGCTACAAATGGGCGGCCGGCGTGCTCGGGTCTGCCCCCCGGCCCCTCAGCGCCCCTCGAACGGGGACTCCACCGATGGGCACGTTGGCCAGTGGCCCGGCGAGCCCAATCCCCCCCGATGTGGGCACCGCTGCAATGCCAGAGAGATGCCTCCAGCGGCAACTTACGGGAATTTCCAAAAGTGCTCGTTAGCGAATACCCGTTACGGCGCCGCTGACCCCCCCCTCCCCACGCAAGCCCCCAGAAGAGGCCGCTCGCATCAGATCTCAAAGGTCACTCTGGCGGATCACGACGACGACGACGAGCACGAGCACGAGCACGCGCACGACCTCCAGCGCAACCCGTTGGAGAGAAGATCCGCGGCGAGCGAGGGGGGAAGTGAGAAGGAGAAGGCCTGCTCAGAAGGCGGCGAGACTTCTCAGCGGCCCTCGCGCCTTCCGAAAAAGCTTTTGTCTGTCTGCCTTCGAGGAAGGCTCAGAGAACTTCTCAGAAGGGCCCGGGGACTTCCTAACCTTCTGAAAAGGCCTTTTCCTTCTCTCTTCCCCCCTCGCTCGCCGCCGCACTCTTGCGTGGATTCCCGGGGGCGCCAAATGGCCACCTCAGATTGCTGGGCGTCGCGAAGCAAGTGCGACAGCCGGCTGACAGCGTTCCCAAATCTCGGGCGATCTGACGTTTTCAACCGTCGGGCTCTTCCTAGTATATCGGCCCTCGGGGCCACTCTCAAGCCCCAGGGCCGTCACCATCGGATCCGGGACGAAAATCACAGCCCAGGGGAAGCGGTTGGGACACCTGGAACCGAGGGCTGAAACAAACAGATCAGGTGCATGTCAGGATGTTGGGCCTCTGGAGGCTGGCCCGTGGCCCCGAGGCCGTGACAGAAACGGCCCGGGGCGAAAAACTAACCCCTGGGGGGGTGGTCGAGGAGGAGGAGGAGGATGAGGAGGAGGAGGAGGAGGAGGGGGAGGAGGAGGAGGAGGAGGAGGAGGAAGAGGAGGAAGAGGAGGAGGAGGAAGAGGAGAGGGTCGAGGAGGAGGAGGAGGATAATAGAATATAATAGAAAACGCAATGGGGCTCCGATTCAATCTCGGGGAGACGTAAGACCCGGGTACGGGGGACCTGGAAATCCCCGACGAGGTCGTTAAAAAAATGACGAGGCCGAGCCTGCATTTTGACGAGGCCTCCCGCTGCAGACATCCCACGAAACTCCTCCTCGTCAAAATCCGAGTCGCGGTCGTCAAAAAACGATGGCGAACCCGAGTCCCGGCAAACCCGGGTCTTACGCTCCCCCGACAATCGAACTCGACTGGAGACTAAGCCCTGCGCGCTGCCTTGGCAGCTCGTGACGCCATCGATGGCGCGGACAGCCCGTCGGGAGCCACCCGCGCCGCCTCTACCAGGCGGCCCCTCGTTTGGGCGCGCAGCCCGAGGGGTGCCCAGCTGAGGGGACCAAAACTTAGCTCGTGCCTCCTCGGACAAAGGTGATTGGGCGAGCGATGGACCCCTCACCCCCCGTCAACCGGGGAGGAGGAGAGGGAGGAAACATCTGTCCGAAGAGCACGTTCTCTGCAGAACTCTTTCCCTCCTTCCCCTCCCGCCCGCGACCGTCGCGACGACCGCGACCCCGCCCGCGTCCCTTCCCTCGAGCGCTAGCTGGAGCCGCCGCCGCCTTTGGCACCATAGCTGGCGCACTCGGCAGCTCGGGGTGCGCATGCGATGGGATCGTGAGCGAGGTTCGCATCAGGACATCCCTCGGCACGGCCCCTCTCTGAATCAACTCTCTGCGACGCGCCGAACTAGAAAGGGGAGAGGAGGAGGTGTCAGGGGGTGCGGGCGGGGAACTATGACGCCGTCAGGCATGGAAAAAGAGTGCTGGTCGCGCTCATTCACTGGGCCTCCGAGCCCCATCTCCGAGCTCACTTCACCTGAGTTCCCAGCCGCCTCTCCGTCGGACCTCTGGGCGCCGCTCCTGGAATCGGATCGCACCCCTCGACCTTCACCAGGTACTCCTGGAAGGTCGGCCATGGCGCGCGCGCCGCCTCCGAGTCCTGAGCGTTGAAGGCCACCGACAGAACTCCACGTTTCTCCTGCATGCTCTCGTCCTCGCCCTCCTTTGTCTGCCTCGCGCGCTTGTAGCGGCACTGGAGCACGACGAGGCCCAACTGTTGTGGAGACTGTGTAAGCACGATCTTGGTCCAAAGCTCCATCATGGCGGTGTGGCCGTTTGGGTTGGGCGCTTCTTCCGCCCTCTGCGAGCAAGCCGATGTCGCGCTGGATGGTGATCACGAACAATGCCACCTGCGGAGCGCCTCGAGCCTTCCAATCGATCTTTTCGCCTGCTTTCTGCCGCTCATTCATGGCCTTCGAGTTGTCGTCGTACATTTTGTTGGCCGCGACGCACGCATGGCCGAGGGAGCCGGCCCCTTCCGCCACGAAATAGGCTCGATAGACCACTGCCTCCAGCATGGCCGCTCTCCTCTCCAGGTGCAGTACCAACTTCGTCGTGCTGCTGCCCAATTGTGTCCTGCTGCTGGCCCTTGTCCTTCCTGCCTCGCTTGTCTTGCGCCGCCGATCCTTGGGCCGCGGCCCGCTTCGCTGGAAGCGCCATCCAGTCTGGCATCTCGAGGTCTGCCGGCGTGGCCGCCGCTGCCGCACCCCCAGGCATGAGTCGAAGTGCCCTTAGCAGTCGGTCTCCCAGCGTTGCGTTTCAGGTTCGGTAGCAGAACGGGAGGAGGAGGAGGAGGAGGAGGAGGAGGAGGAGGAGGAGGAGGAGCAGGCAGGTGCTGGACCAGATGATTGCGGAACTCGGAGTAGTTCGCCCCCTCGACATCGCAAATGGGGGCAGCTGCAGGAGGTCGCCTCGCGAAACTCCGTCGTCGAAGAAGCCCCTCTCGGATCGCACCGTCCGAGACAAAGGGCGCTCTGCAGGTGTCTACGCGCAGTGACCTGTGTAGCGAAAACCCGTTCACATACGTGCCGTAGGCGTGCCGTGCACGCCCCCTGTGTTCGGAACGTAGCCCCGCAGAGCATCCCATCCTTCACGTGCGTGCACGTGTGCTTCTCCTCCTCGCCCCCCTCCTCCACCTCGTCGCCCTGCCCCCCGCAGTCCCCCTCCTCCTCTGCCAGCCAGGGGGGGGCCACGCGAGCAGAGACCACCGAAGCCCTGTACTCGCCGAAGTCTAGGTCGATGAACTCCCTAACTGAAGGGGCCCCAGGACACACAAATAAATACACACAAATGAAAGTATTCCCCATATTTTCCCATATTTTCTGGGTTTTTGTCTGCCCCCCCACTTCCCATATTTTCCCATATTTTCTGGGGAATCGAGGATTAGTTGTGTCTGTGTGTTTTTTCCTCTCCTGACTAGCCTTGCCCTGGTCAGGGCAGAGGTGCCGCCGGGGACGTCGCGAGGTCCAGCAGGAGGTCCGAGTGGTCCAGGCTCGCGGCAGCCGCGGCACGGAGGTCGGAGCGCATCTGGAGGGCCCAGGGGAGACGCGCGACTATGAAGGGGCCCCAGGACACACAAATAAATATACACACACAAATAAAAGGATTCCCCATCTTTTCCTATATTTTCTGGGTTTTTGTCTTCCCGCCCACTTCCCATATTTTCCCATATTTTCTGGGGAATCGACGATTAATTGTGTCTGTGTGTGTTTTTTCCCTCCTGAGACTAGTCAGGCCGAACTCGGGCTCGCAGGGGTCGAAATCGTCGGGCTCGCGGGCGCGGCCGTAAGAAACCATCGCAGGAAGCCCAGCCCCGAAAGCCCGTGCGCGAGGTGCATCTGAGGAGAAAGCCAGAGCACCCTGGACGCAGCAGCTGCTCTAACGGCCGCGGAACGTCACCGCGCAGCGCGCGGAGCGAAGAGACCCAGGGTGCCCTGACGAAAAGCGCATGGCTTCCTGATGCGAGCCCCCACAGTGTTCCTCCTGTGGAGGGACAGGCCCGACTTAAGGCTACACAAGCGCCTGGGTGAACGAGGAGCTCTAGAGGAGCGACCATGGAAAGACGAGCCCCTTCCTGGCTCGAGCTCCTGCCTCACTCCAGCGCCTCGGCCACGCACGCCCTCCCATGGCAAAAAGGTCAGGAAGGCGCGCGCCGGCAGGGCCGTGCCGAACCGACCCGCGCGCTGGCGCTCCCGACGCTGCGCGGAGCGTCCGACCTGGAGCGGCCGCGTTGGCTCCGCGACACTTCGTCTCGGTGATAGCATCTTCGAGATCCGCCGTCGGTCCACTGGCGCGGCCGCCCCAGACAGGCGTGGGCGCGCGAGGTGCGCAGACGCCGCGCTGCGCGTGCCATGTGCACAGAGAGGCACGCCCGACTCAGAGGTTGCTGCCACGCCATGCCAGCCGGCGTCTGGAAGAGCACGGTGCGGGAGTGCAGCCGCTCTCGCTGGCTCCCTTCCGTGGTTCATATGCGCGCCACACGGCTGATTGATTGATTGATTGATTGATTGATTGATTGATGAAATCATCTTTCACATCTGAGCAGTGGAAACTCATTGGTCACTACTTCTGCGGCGACGGCCGCATTTGAGGGCCGCGGCTCTTCCCGCCGTTCCCCTCCAGGGTCACGCTCTGGCGCGATGGAGGCGACCCGTTCGTTCGGTCGTGGCTTCCCGACAACGCCGACCGCTCCATGATGGCCGACTCCCGGAGAAGACGATGAGGGTGGACTGCCCAGGGGCGGGCGTTACACCCTTCGGGGCTCGGCATCAGCAGCATTGTCTCGGGCGCCGGGGTGGAGGCGTGTGAGGACCTGAACAGACGCGCGGCGCCGCTGTGTCATCTACCCTCGTCGTTGGCGGCACGCAGAGTGGGGTAGGGGGAGGGGGGAATGCTTCTTAGAAGGCGCCGGCCTTACACGTATAGAGGAGGCCCGCGCCTTCTAAGAACCAGGGGTGCTTCTATAGGGGAACGAAAAACGACACAAACGGAGGTGCGCGCGGATTTCTTGGATCGACGCTGGACCCCCCTTGCTGGCGCGCGGAGCGCGTCAGGGGCGGCGCCGGAGGCGCCGCCGGGGTGACCCATGCGCGGGTTCAAGAAATCCGCGCGGAGCGCCAGAAAGTTTATGTTTATGCCGTTTTCCTTCTTCGAGTCTCCTCTGATGACTCCGGGAGCCACTGCCAGCGCTCAGGCTTGAGAGCGCCCGCGCTGGCGCCGCCGCCGTGTCGGTACAGCGCGGGCCTACCGCTGCACCGGCCCCTGGGCCCACGATGGGCCTGACCAAGACTGGTGGCACGGTCGGTTGGCGGGCCGAGGAAGCCCTGAACAAAATACCGTTGCCATCTCTGGCGGCGCGCAGAGGGGGGTAGGGGGAGGGGGGCAAGCTTCTTAGTAGGAGGCTGCTTCTTAGAAGGCGCCGGCCTGACATCTGTAGTTAGACAGGGCCCGCACCTTCTAAGAAGCAAGGGTGCTTCTAAGAAGCCTTCCCCCCTCCCCCTACCCCCCTCTGCGCGTGGCCGACATCTCTTGGGGGTGCAATTTTTTACTTCTGTCGGCTTCCACCGGCGGAGGCGGCCTCGTTTTACTTCCGCGGGCTTCCGCTGCCCTTCCGCTGCCTTCCGCCGAAGTAGGGGTGACAATTCCTTCGATCCTCGAAGGCGAGGCCCTTCCTGGAATGGCTCAATTAAAAAGCAGCGGGCCCTGAGGGAAACGGGTGCTGGGCCAGCGGGGGAAGGGAGGAGGAGGAGAAGCAGGAGAAGGAGGAGGAGGACGGCGAAGGGCCTCTCTCCATGACCAGCGTTTCGTCGTGAGTCGTCTTTCGACTGCCCCAGGGCCCGTGGAGAGCCCTGGGAGGCCGAAATCTGCCCAAGCCCTGCAGGACTCGTTTCCCTCAGGGCCCGTGCCCTGGCATGCACCGATATGATTCGCGCTGACAGCCCGCGGCCCCAGAAGACCCGACCGCGTCCCTGTGGCACATCTCTCTTCCCGGATCCGCTTCTGACGGCCCCAGGACCCGACAACGCGCCCCCGAGGCCGACATCGAAGCAAAGCCCGCCGGCTTGAAAGAACCACACACACCTGGACCAGAAAGCGAACGACACCACCCCGCACCTGCGGCCCCACGGGTCGAAGCGGATACCAGGAAATTCTGGTATGGGCTTGTGCGGTTGTTGCGCTACGGCCCCCGATGGGCCGTAGCGCACACATGGAGGGCCGCAGGCGGGGTGCAGTGGCTCGTTTGTTGGTCGAACATCGCCGGAAATCTGGGCTTGTGAACGGCGTCCCCCCGGCGGGCCTGGCCCCCGCGTCCGAGAGGCGCGTGCCGTCCACGCGGAGCTCGTCCTGGGGAAACCGCAGAGTACCGACACCGCTGCTCCCCCCGGGACCTCTCCCGGGGTGCGTTCTGGCCAGAATCTCGAGGCGAATCCAGCAGTGGCGACGAGAGCCTCTTAGGAGGCCCCCAACAGGGGAAAACGCGGGAGGGGTAGCGGTGAGGGTACCTTCTCCTCCTCGGATCGTCCAGGGCGCAGCGCGGCAGGGCGGCCTCGAGGCCGCCGAGGTCCAGCGCGTCGCAGAGCCCGGTGCCGTCGAGGCGCAGGGCGCGCAAGGGGGACGCGGGCAGCTGCGCGGCGAGGCCTGCGAGGCCCGCGGAGGTCAGGCGCCTGCGCTGGGACGCGGGGGGAGGCCCGCCCGTCGGAAGAATGTGGAAGCAGGAGGCAGGAGGGCGGATGCAGCAGATTTGGGTTCGGGCCCGCCTAAGGTTCGGGCCCGCCCGTCGGAAGAAGCAGGCGGAAGCATGAAGCAGGCAGGCGGATGGAGTTTACGTTGCTGCCATCGTACGTAAGGACCACATCCCAGACATAATTTCGAGCACCCAGAAGAGTGTCGAAGGATTGTCGAAAGAGTGTCGAAGGAGTGTCTCCCAGGGCTCGGCACGTGAAAACCCTCGAGTTTGGGGGGTTTTCCTGGTGCTCGAAATTCAATCTGGCGATCAAGGCCAAAATAGGTTGGAATATCATAAGATCAAGTAGATTTGGGTTCGGACCCACCTAAGGAATGACAACATATCACAGACGCATGCCGATCCCTGAAGTAGGAAGGCGCTTGGAGTAGACTGGGATATGTGAATCCAGAAATGCCTACTTTCAACGGCTGGCGTGTATGCGACAGTCAGGTGAACATTGTTGGTGGCGTGCGCCCGACCTGATCAGTGAGTGCGGTGGGGGCATTGGATAGGGAACCCTTAGAGAAGGAATCCAGGGTCTGGAGGCCAGCGGAACTCCAATCGAGGCTTGGCCGTGGATGCCACCGCCGCCCTCGTCAGATAAAGGGATCCTCCAGGGCCTGCAGCATTCTGGGCGCATCCCTTCACCGACGCCCCCACCGCACAACCACCCCATTACCTTGAAGGGGAACTGAGACACACAAATTAATACACACAAATAAAAGGATTCCCCATATTTTCCCATATTTTCCCCTACCTAGGCTCTGCCTAGAAGGGTTCTTACTCTCTTAGCTTAAAGGGGCCGGGCAGTGGAACACGCCCCGGGCGGTTCCCCCAGTCCCCTGGGAGCGGTTCCCCCCAGTCCCCTGGGAGCTTTAGCTTTAGCTTTAGCTTTAGCTTTAGCTTTAGCTTTAGCTTAGCTTTAGCTTAGCTTTAGCTTAGCTGTAGCTTAGCGTTTCGCTTAGCGTTTCGCTTAGCTTTTAGCTTAGCTTTAGCTTAGCTTTAGCTTAGCTTTAGCTTAACTTTAGCTTAGCTTTAGCTTAGCTTTAGCTTAGCTTTAGCTTAGCTGTTGCTCAGCTTTAGCTCAGCTTTAGCTTAGCTTTAGCTTAGCTTTAGCTTTAGCTTAGCGTTAGCTTAGCTGCGGCGTAGCTTTAGCTTAGCTTTAGCTTAGCTTTAGCTTAGCGTTACTGTTACTACAAATGCTGCTTTACTAGGGGTTCCAACTCCTAGGTAGGGTCGCACTGGGATAATCTGGGTTTTTGTCTTCCCCCCACTTCCCATATTTTCCCATATTTTCCTGGGGATCGTAGATTAATTGTGTCTGGGTGTTTCTTTTCCTCCTGATACCTATCGCTCCACCAGCGCTGTGGCCAGAAAGCGCCGGGCCACCGAGCACGCACTCTGAGAGAGCAGGCCTGGAGGTTGCCACCAGCACCAACGTCGGCGGCAGTGCCTCCACCGAGGGAGGAGAAGATCCCGATTTCGGTGACGGTGGTAATTGAAGGGGCCCCAGGACACACAAATAAATACACACAAATAAAAAGATTCACCATATTTCCTCATATTTTCTGGGTCGTTGTCTTCCCCCCCACTTCCCATATGGTCCCATATTTTCCGGGGAATCGACGATTCATTGCGTCTGTGTTTTTTTTTTCCCCTCCCGAGTAATATACTCTGGCCTCCAGGGTGGCCGAAATGCCGCCGCCGACGCCGCAGTCGAGGAGCCTCTTCCCCCCCTGTGGGGGCCAGCCCCCCCCCTGCTGGTGCCGGTGCCGCTCTCTCGAGGCCTCGGCTTCCGGGAGCGCGCGCGTCGCCCCTCCATCGGGGGCGGCGCGCGCGGGCGGTGCAAAAGCGCGCCTCGGGGAAGCCGACGTGCGGCGCCGCACGGCTCGCCTTGCCGCCGCTCGGGCGTCCATGTCCCGTGCGTTTGTCGGTCTCGTGCGTGTGCTTTTTGCTCGGTGGTCCAGGATGGTCCTCGATGGTTCTCGCCGAGAAAAACTGCACACGTCCGAGCGATGCCAAGTCGCTGGCCCGGAGGTCCTGGCGTCTCAGATTTCACAATGGGCGATGGCGCCTCGCATCGGGCCCCAGGAGCCTCGCAGAGCGGTCCGGCTCGAGGAACGGTGCAGAAAAAGGTGGGGTTCAGGGCTCTGGTCGTGGCTTCTCAAGGTGTTGCCACGCTTTCGCGACGTCGCATCGAAGGGTCGGTTCTGAGGGGCTCTCCTGCCTCGGGATGCGTTTTTCTGGCAGCTGCGCCCCGCCGAGAGCACTCTGGGGCCCCCAGATCGTTCAGAGCGACCGCCAGAGACTCGAGCTTCGACCCCAAAGCCGAGTGGCCCTTCGCCAGAATGGCATCTGGTGCACGGCCTTCGGGGGGCGCGGGGGGGGGGGGGCCAAACCCGGGCGGGCAGGTCGCTGCCGATCGCGTAGCGCTCTGAGATGTGAGGAGCAGGCCGCTGCTATCGCGCATCGTGCTCGGAGACCGGGTGGACCCAGGTGAGCCCGCACCCAGAGGTCACTCTGCCGAAGAGTCGCTCTGACGAGCAACCGACGTGGCGACCTTGCGCTGTGGCTGAGGATAGAGGCCTCCCAGACGGGGTCCGAGTAGATGGGGTCGGGGGATCGCTCCACATCGCCGATACGATGCATCGGCGACGTCGGCGATGCATCGGCGCCGTCGGCGTGGATGAAATCGAGCTTCACGTCGAGCCGCATCGCCGATGCATCGGCGATGCGGCGCGATCCTCCGACCCCACCTGCTCGGACCCCACCTGGGAGGCCCGAATACAAGGGGGCCGCCAGCGCGGCACGCTGCCTTGGATACGAGGGCACTCGCGCGAGGTCCTGGTCAGGAAGCCCGCGCGCGGGTGTCGCCGCCAATCGAGCCCGCGTTTCTCCGCACCGCTCGCCTGTTCCTCGACAGCGCCAGCACGCGCAGCACCGCGGCCGGGGACGGCAGCGCCTCGGCCAGCTGGGCGGCGCTCTTGTCGTTCAGCGAGTTGTCGGTGAGGTCGAGCGCGCCGAGGCGACCGCAGGCCACCAGCCCGCAGAGGCGCGCCACATCCTTGCAGCGGTTCGAGCGCAGCGAGAGCTGCAGGGTCGCGCCGCTGGGGCGCAGCGCACCGCACAGCGCGCCGACGGCGTGGTCGCCGAGGGCGTTCCCGGAGAGGTCCAGCTCGGTGAGCGTCGGGGGGAGGAGGCGCCAGAAGGGGGACCAGGCGTCGCTGGAGGCGCCCGGGCAGTCGACGATGCCGAGCGACCTGAGCGACAGAGGGAAGCGTGCCTCACGCGGGATGACAGAGCGACCCTACGCGGTGGCTCACGCGGGCCGCCAGCGCGGCACGCCAAACTGGAGAACGAGGGCGCTCACCCGTCGGTCGGAAGAAGTGGGGTAGAAACATGAAGTAGGAAGGCGGCGCTGAAGTAGACTGGGTCTCCAGCCACCCCCTGAGGAGGAGGGAAGAAGAAACACCGCTAGACTCTTGACTCTTGAAGCAGGAGGGCGCCGAAAGTAGATTGGGATCTGGATTTTCAACGACCGGCGTGTACGCGCGACCTTAATCCTACCAGCCCTTAAGGGCGCAAGTGGTTTAGCGGGGGTCCTCCTCCAACCCCCCTTCTTTACCTTGGGGGGTTTCCCCCTTACCCCCCCCCCCGAACCTGGACCGGGCGTCCTGCGGTTCATCAGAGCGTGCAAGAAGGGCTCGGCGAGAAGGCACTAATCATGGGTTTTGCTCGGGTTTGGGGCACATGTTGGCCTCCTGGGGGGAAGGCTGTAATCTACTACCCCCCCTTCTTTGATCGATCTCCTCCAAGATGGCCTCAAGCTGGCCCGCAAGGCTCCCAAGGGTGCCCCGAGAGGCGCCCAGGAGGCCTTAAGAGGCCCCAGGAGCTCCCCAAGAGGCTCCCAAGAGACCCCCGAGAGGCCCCAAGAGGCGGCTCTCACGATGCACCCAAGACGCTTCAAGAGGCCCTTAGGATCGGCCAAGAGGCCCCCTAAGACGCCCCAATAGGACTCCAAGCAACTCTCAAGAGACATCCGAAGAGACTCCGAGAGACATCCAAGAGGCCTCTGGCCTTTCTGCTCGCCCTCCTCCTCCTCCTCCTCCTCCTCCTCCTCCTCCTCCTCCTCATCCTCATCCCTCCTCTTCCTAACCCCTCCTCCTCCTCCTCCTCCTCCTCCTCCTCCTCCTCCTCCTCCTCCTCCTCCTCCTCATCCTCCTCATCCTCATCCTCTTCATCATCATCATCATCATCATCATCATCATCATCATCATCATCATCATCATCATCATCATCATCATCATCATCATCATCATCATCATCATCATCATCATCATCATCATCATCATCATCATCATCATCATCATCATCATCATCATCATCATCATCATCATCATCATCATCATCATCATCATCATCATCATCATCATCATCATCATCATCATCATCATCATCATCATCATCATCATCATCATCATCAGCATCATCATCATCATCATCATCATCATCAGCATCATCATCATCATCATCATCATCATCATCATCATCATCATCATCATCATCATCCATCATCATCATCATCCATCCTCCCCTCCTCCTCCTCGTCCTCCTCCTCCTCCTCCTTCTCCTCCTCCTCCTCCTTCTCCTCCTCCTCCTTCTCCTCCTCCTCCTCCTCCTCCTCCTCGTCGTCCTCCTCCTCCTCCTCCGATTCCTCCTCATCCTCCTCCGATTCGTCCTCCATCCTCCCCCTCATGGAGCACGGCGAATTCCCCAGCCATTTACTCCACAGCAAGTTCCTCCACATCCCTGATCAGGGCAACTCGCCTGGGCATCGTTCCTGGACACGCTGGTCGGGCTGCGCGAAGCGCGTAGAATTGGAGAACCGAGGGCGCTTGCGCGCGACCTTACGCGGGGAGCTCACGCACCAATGTCCACACAGTCGACCCCTCCTTCGTCCATCGCTCACCTGAGGCCGCACCCGTCTGTGGCGGCGCGCGGGACTTTGCTCGTGGCCACCGCCGCAGCTTCGGCTGGGCCGGCAGCCGACGCCGCATCACCCTCTTCGGGCGCACCTCCAGGAGAAGGACAACACACATGCAAGCACGAGCTCTCGGAGGACCGCGCGTTGTTGCATCGGCGCTGCGCCACCCTCCTCCAGGGCCAGCGCCAGCGCCGCCAGGGCGGTCTCAGCGCCGATCCGAGGAAGCTGCGCGGACCTCCGAGCGCTCGCGCGTGTGCTGATCTGTCGCCGTCGAGCCTCCGAAGAGGTCGAAGCCCTCGCCGTACGCCTCCGAGGATGACTGCCAGGGGGGAACTGGCTCGGGGAGGGGGGAAACGCCGACCTGGAGTCGGCGATGCGTCGCCGACAGATCTGCGATCGGCGCCCTCGACAGAGAAGCATCTCGTTCCTGGGCGGGGTGGGCTATCAAGGCTCAGGTCGGGCGTGTCCGCCTACAGGCGGATTTTGGAAGAAAGACATAACAGAGTCCAACCATATTCAGAAACAGCCAAGTATAGTCAAAGAATCGCCCCCAGACTATATCTGGAGTATTTTTGAATATTCCTCCTGTACAGCCTGTCGAGGGGCATGCCCGACTCAAATCAAGTCCTTGTTGGCGACGGGTGGGCGATTGGGGGCCGATGCGTACCCCGCAGGGCGGCCTCGGCGACACGCTGTGCGCCCTGCCAGCGGATGGCGTGTCGCTCTCCGCTCCGCGCAGCGGGAGGCTGGGAGAGTCTCGGGAACGCTAACGCTCGGGAATACTGAAGGGGCCCTGGGATACACAAATAGATACACACACACAAAGAAAAGGATTCCCCGTATTTCCCCATATTGTCTGGGTGTTTGTCTTCCCCCCCCCCTGCCCATTTTTTCCCCCATTTTCTGGTGAATCGCCGGTTAATTGTGTCTGTGTGTTTCTTTCCCTCCTGAAATATGGACGTCGCCGTCGCAGTCGCCGTCGCCGTCGCCGTCGCCGTCGCCGTCGTCGTCGCCGTCTTCGTCTTCGTCGTCGTCGCCGTCGCCGCCTTCGTCGTCGTCGCCGTCGCCGTCGCCGCCGTCGCCGCCGTCGCCGCCGCCGCCGCCGTCGTCGCCGTCGTCGTTGTCGTCGCCGTCGTCGCCGTCGTCGTCGTCGTCGTCGTCGTCGTCGTCGCTGCCCAACGGCGCCGGCGCGGGCGCCGTCGTCGCCGTCGCCGTCGCCGTCGCCGCCGTCACCGCGTCGCTCCAAAGCGTGGTGGGCCAGACGACCCAGCGGCCCGACACGCTGAAAGCCAAAGTGCCTGACCGTGTCCCCCCCCCCTGGCTGAGGGACAGCGAGAAAGGGGGGCCGGTTCAGTAGGGGAAACATTGAGCTGGAATCGGCGATGCATCGCCGATAGATCGTCGGGAACGCGCGAGCGTGGATTAGCGATCTATGGATTTGGCGCGCGGTCGCCAAATCCATGGATCGGGGGAGGTGCCCTCCCCAAAATGCGGCCGGTGCCGCCTCGTTCGGCGGCGGAAATCCGCGGTTTCCCATGGAAACTTGACTCGTCGCTAATCTTAAGTCGGGCCTGTCCCCCTGCAGGGGGATTTTGGGCGAAAAACAAAAAAAAGGTCAAAAAATACCCAAAACAAAAAAGGTCAAACATATACTCCCCCAATGCCCCAAAATACTCCAACAGCCGTCTCCAGACTGTTCCTTGACTGTTCTCGCACATCCCTCCTGTAGAGGGGCAGGCCCGGCTTCACGCTGCTCCACGCCCCCCGAGTCCACGCCTGCGATCGCCCGAGATCGGCGATGGGCCCGTGGTACAGCGAATCCCCGCGCTCCTGGGCGGGGGGGGCTCTCTGGCCCCTGCCGGCGATGGGTGGGCGATGGGGGGCCGAGGCGTCCCCCCCCTGATCGAGGAGCCCAGGGACACACCAACAGATACACACACACACACGAGCAACAGGATTCCCCATATCTTCCCACCTTCTCTGGGGGTTCGTCTTCCCCCCCCCCCCTTCCCGTATCTTTCCGCATTTTTTTGGGGGGAAGGGAGGATTCCTTGTGTCTGTGTGTTTTCTTTCCCCTCCGGACCTGAGCCCGTCCCCCGATGGCTGACGCTCGGACGCCCTTTCCCCGTGCGCTGTCCAGTTTGGTGCGCGTTTTGTTGCCAAGGTGGCCCCAGGTGCTCCAAGATATTGTTTTTGTTCCCCCTGCGCACTCCCCCTGACGCTATCCTCCGTGCAGTTCCCAGTGCAAGCACCTAGACAACAAAGTGTGGCTGGTTTCGGCGTTTTGCTGGCCGCCCCAGGTGCTCCAAGACGGTCCAGGTTTTCCGGCGCTGCCTCTCCGAAAACATCCTTCCACGATCATGATGCCGGACCGACGGCAGCGCAGGTTGACAGTCGGTACCGATCCACCCAGCAGTCGTCCGAGAGCTGCATGCGGAGGCCCAGAGCACGGAGTGGAGCGATACGAGCCCGCCCGAAAGCGTATCAGAGCCGCCGGGGAGGGGAGGAAGGGGAGGAGAAGGGACAGACGAGGTAAAGCATCTCGCCGAGAAAAGGGCACACGTCCGAGAGGCACCGAGTCCCCAGCGTGGCCCCCGAGCCTCGTCGTCTTCCGCCGAGGCCGCGCTCCCCTCTGCGGGGCAGGCCGCGGCGCCGACGCCGAGCCGCTCCAGCACACGCCCCAGCAGCGCGAGGCCCCCCGCCTCCAGCGCGCAGTCCTCCACGCGCAGCCGCTCGACACCCTCCGGTGGGACGCACAGGGATCTCCTCCTCCTCCCTCCTCCTCTCCTCCTCCTCCCTCCTCCTCCTCCTCCTCCTCCTCCTCCTCCTCCTCCTCCTCCTCCTCCTCCTCACTCACTCACTCACTCACTCACTCACTCACTCACTCACTCACTCACTCACTCACTCACTCACTCACTCACTCACTCACTCTCTCACTCTCATGGCCGTTCCTCCTTCTCCTCCTCCTCCTCCTCCTCCGCGCAAGCGCTCGACACCCTCCGGTGGGACGCACGGGGATCTACTGGTCCTGTGTGACCCCCCTTGGAGGCGCTCGTCCCGAGCCGAGCATATAGCACAAAGCATCTTGCAGTGGAGGCCAGTCCACACAAGAAGCCCTCCATGCAAAAAAACAATCCTGAGACCCAAGACGCCCCCTTGAGTTCTGGTGCGAGCACGTCGCGCCCTCCATCGCAAACCTGTCGACACCCAGGATACCCAGGGCACCCTGGAGGCAAGCAGGGTGCTTCTTGGCATGGGTCTCCACTGCGCAGTGTCTCGTTCTGGCCATCGCTCGGACGTCCATTCCCTGTGTTTTTTTCGGTTTCGTGCGTGGTTTTTTCGCCAAATGATCAAGGATGCTCGTCGATGGTCCTCGCCGAAGGAAAAATGCACACGTCCGAGCGATGCCAAGCATTGCACGGGCGGCACGGCCAGAAAGCGCCCCGCCACCGAGCATGCACGCCCGGGAGATGCCCGAGCGCGCGCGCGGGGCCGACGCGCACGCAGTGCCGCCAGCCCTTTGGGCGTGAGTGGCTTAAGAGCGTTTCCACTTCCAACGCCCCCCTCCTCCTCCTCCTCCTCCTCCTCCTCCTCCTCCTCCTCCTCCTCCTTCGGGAAGGGGTTCGCCCCACCCCCCGCCCCATCCCCTGTACCTGGACAGGGGGCCCCGCGACGCGCTGGAGCGCCCAAGACGACCTCGGCGAGAAGGCAAACATCAATGATCTTACTAAGGTTTTGGGCACACACGGGGGGACGCTAGTTGGATCCCGCCCTTCTTTGATCGATCACCCCCAAGATGGCCCCCGAGAGTGCCCCAAAGAGGGCCCCAAGAGGCGCCCGGGAGGCTCCAAGAGGCAGGTGCCCCCACTGTGCCCCCAAGATGCCTCCCTAGGGGCTCTCAAGGCCCCCGAGGGGCCTCAAAAGGCCCCCCTCGAGGCACCCAAGACGCTTCAAGAGCCCCTGGGGCCGCCAAGAACCCCCCAAGACGCCCTGGCAGGCCTGCAAGAAGCTCCCGAGAGACATCCGAAGAAGCTCCGAGAGACATCCAAGAGGCCTCTGGCCTTCCTGTTCGCCCTCCTCCTCTACCTCTTCCTCATCTGCCTACTCCTCCTCGTCCCTCCCCCTTCTTCCCCCAACCTCCTTCGCCCCCCCTCCTCCTCCTCCTCCCCCTCCTCCTCTTCCTCCTCCTCCTCCTCCTCCTTCTCCTCCTCCTCCTCCTCATCATCATCATCATCATCATCATCATCATCATCATCATCATCATCATCATCATCATCATCTTCATCATCATCCTCCTGATCATCCTGATCATCCTGATCATCCTCATCATCATCATCACCATCATCATCATCATCATCATCAGCATCATCATCATCTGGTTCCGCCTCTGTCCTCCCCCTATTGAGGTATGACGGCTTCTCGGCCTTTATTCCTCTGCGTGCTCCCCCGCAGGCCTGATGAGGGCAATTCGCCTGGGCATCGTTTCTTGATGGGTTGGTGGGGTTACTGTTTGGTCAGCAGGCTCGCGAGGCGAATCAAAAAGCCGTCCGAACATTAGTCGAACCGCGACTAAGCAGCAGGAAAAGAAATGCAAGCAAAGCGAGCGAGCGGGCAGCCACACAGAAAGAGAGCCAGCACCGATACTCCCAAACCCGGTGGCGTTTGAAACCCCAGTGGCGACCAGCAAGTAAGCGCAGCCAAAATGGCGCGGCGGCGCGACCATAAACACGCAGAGGTCGGTCGCTCGGTGTGAGTCGGGCAAACAGCACCGTCAGAGACGAACTAGACCGACAGGCACACCCAGACGACAGGTTGGTGGTGTTACACGAAACGTTTTAGAATATGAACATGTGTGGGTGACGCCGATCCAACGATCCAGCGCCTGACGCCGTGAATCGACGGCGAACAACCGAACCCTACCCTCGCCGATCAAAGACTCGAGCAACTCGATGGGCGACGGGGGTTACGGTTCGGAAGTCGTCGAGCACATGGCGCCATCCGGACCCTACCCCTGCCTCCCATCGCTTCAGGAGAATCGATGGCTGGTGGGGGCAAGGCCCGGATGCCGCCACCTGGTGAGCAAGTCAGGGCGGGCAAGTTCTCCGGCAGCTCTCGGCCTTAAAAGGGGCGCCGTCAAGAAGCCCCAGGGTCCCCGAACGGCGCGGCGGCAGGCCGCACAGCGACTTGGGAATCCCCAGAAAGACCTCACCGCACGGTCCGCCTTCGCACGGTTTACGGTCTGGGGACCCAGGAGGCCCCAAACGCCCGAGACCTCTTCAAACAACGACCCAAGTTCCCAAGCCGTGCCGTTACCCCATCTATCCCTACTGACTCGGACACACGTCATCCAGCGGAACCGGTCAGAAACGACAAGTGCCAGATTGCGTCTTGCAGAATGGTGATGCGAATGTTGCGTCGCGCGCTTGAAGACGATGGCTTATTCGCAAGCGCGCGCCTTTGCCTCCCCAGCAATGTTCCTGTGTAGGAGTTCTGTTATAGACATATTGTCCATGTGGCGTTGTGCGTTTGCTTGGAAGCGCTTCCGAACGGTACTAAGTCACTTGTGAGTGACCACTGTTTGCTGCTTCGCGCATTCCCACCAACCCACGCAAAATCAATCACAAAGCGAGCTGCAACGACCAGGGATGTGCAGCATAATGCAGTCATGTTCTGTGATCCTCTTCGAAGCACCTTGGGGCGATGAGAGCCTCTTGGAGCCAATGTGAAAATCCTTGTGGGCCCTCTTCGGGCCCTGGGGTCCTCCTGGGGGCCTTGAAGGACCTCTTCGGGTCGTTTTGGAGAGCATCGACCAAAGAAGGAAGGGGGACCAAGCACCCGCCCCCCTCCGGAAGCAGAAGAATGGCCCTGTGGGGCTCTGTTGGCGCGTTCCTGGGGCGCTCTTGGGCGCTCTCGGGGCCGTCTTGGGCCCTTCTTGGGGCTCGCTGGGGCCATCTTCGAGCCCTCTTGAAGCCCCAAAACCCATCAGCGAAAGCGCGAGAATGCAACACATTGACAATATTTGGGTGTTTGAATGAAGATGGCTTCTTGGAGGGGTCCTTGGGAGACTCCGTGGCCACTTGAAACCATGGTGCGGCGGTCTTGCGGCTCGTTGGACGCACGTTGGAAGCTACGCTGAACCATGTTGGGCTGCATTGTGCAATCTCGGAGGCAAGCTTGGGTTAACGGGGCCCTCTTGGGGCTGTCCGAGAGGCATCCTGGACCCTCCAACGACCGGCGGAACAACCCCGATATTCCCAGGAAGAGAGGATAGCGGGAGAGGTGAACCTCCCCTCCATGTTAAGAACGAGATTGTAATAACTACGCCGCTGAACCATATACGCCCAAAGAGCTGCTTGGACTCGGTTGCCGTTGTGCGTAACCGTATTATCCTTTATATCCTCGTCTGCCTCCTTCTCATTCCTCCGCTTTTCCTTCGGCGGCGGAACAGCCCCTGCATTCCCAGGAACAGACGGCAGGGGGTGAGGCGAACCTCCCCCCCAACAGCAGAAAGAGGTTGTGAGAAATATGCACCTGAACCATACACGCCCAAAAGGCTGGTGGGAGTCGGTCGACACTGCGCGTCACTGTATTCCCTCTATCTCTCCATCTGCCTCCTTCTCGTTCCTCCCCTCTTCCAGTGGCGTCGGAACCACGATGCCGCCAAACTCGCCCCTGACGTCCGAGCGTGGAAAACGCCGCGAGCGCCGGCGGCATCGGACGCAGGATGCCGCCTCGTACGCCCTCGTCCATGCTCTTTCTTTCCTGTCCTTCCACCCCCATTGTCCCTCCTGTCTTATTCCAGGGGTCGGGAAGCCAGGATGAGCCGAGAAGTCGGCACATCAGCCCTGACCACGTCCCTCGCCGGCGGCCTGCTCGAACGGGAACCGACCTTTTTGTTTCCATGTGTTTTTCACACCAGTTTTCACATTTTTTCCGCATAGCTGTTCACCAAGGCTTTCACCAGCCAACAAAAAACATATTTTCACACCCCGTCGGCCCCAGTGCCCACAGGGGGCGCATGTTTTCCAGCCCATGGAGCGAGAGCCCGGCCTGAAGCGCAGCCGAGCCCGCCTGGTCCGCTCGGCGCCCCCGGCAGGCCGCCCGCGCGGGGCGGGCTCTGGGCAGATGTGCCGACTTCTCGGCTCACTCGGGCCTCCTGGCCTCTGGAGTAAGACGGGGGGACACTTGGGGTGGAAGGGCAGGAAAGGCAGGGACGAGGGCGCACGAGGCGGCATCCTGCGTCCGATGCCGCCGGCGCGCGCAGCATCTTCCACGCCCCGGCGTCAGGGGCGAGTTTCCGAGGCCAAAGGAAGAGGGGAGGAAGGAGGCAGACGAGGATATCAAGGATAATACGGTTACGCACAATGGCGACCGAATCCCGCCAGCTCTTTGGGCGTACATGGTTTACCGGCATAGTTCTTGCAACCTCTTTCTTAACATGGAGGGGGTTTACCTCTCCCCCTATCCTCTCTTCCTGGGTCTGGAGGGGGCGTTCCGCGGGTCGTTGGAGGGTCCAGGATGCCCCCCAGACGGCCCCAAGAGGGCCCAGCTAGCCCAAGATGGCCTCCAAGATCGCACAAGACAGCCCGATATGGTTCAGCGTAGCTTCCAACATGCTTCCAATTTCTTCTAATTGTGCCCCAAGACGGTTCCAAGTGGCCACGGAGGCTCCCAATGACACTCCCGAGAGGCCAGAAACGTTCAAACCCAAAAGGAATCAGGGTGTGATTGTCTTCTCGCATGTTTGCTTCTCGTGTGCTGTCGAAGCTTCACAATGGTTCCAAGATGGCCCATACGAACCCCGAGAAGGGCCCAAGAGGGACCCAAGACGGCACCAAGAGCGCCGCGCTCCAAGAGGGCCACAAAAGGCATCTGTTCGGCCTCAGAGATGGGGGGGCGGGGGGGGGGCGGAATTGATCCCCCCCTTCTTTGATCGATGACCTCGAAGATGGCCTCAAGTGGCCCCTCAAGGCCACCAGGAGAGCCCAAGAGGCCCCCTAAGAACGCAAAAAGCCTGCAAACTGGCCCCAAGCGGACTGCCAGAGTGTCCCACGAAAACCCCGAGATGCATGTTGGAGGCTCCCAGAGCGTAAGCGCATGCTGCTACGCATCCTTGGTCAAGTCAAATCGCCTGGTGATTGTTTTTGGAGGGGTTGCGGGAATGCTTTTTCGGTCGCGTCCGCTAGCGAAAGCACAGGCGGAGTCAGAAGCTGTCCGGGGCGTGGAAGCAGGTCTAATTAGCTACAGGGCGCGCAGCAGGCCGGCCGGGCAAAGGGGTTGCGGGAATGCGCGGAGCGTCAGAAATAAGCCAGACAGCTCGCGTAGCAAACTCGTTCTGAAAACATATCGCCCGCAACCCTCGCAAGACGTTGTGGCGCACCCCGTCGAAAAGGCATCAGAAACAGACTGCTTCGAACCCAGGCGCTCAACCGACTGTCCAAGCCAACAACACATTCCGCAACAAAACAATTAGCCTGACAAAGGACCCGACCATGTGCAGCTGCGAGTGCAGCAAGACAGGTAGAAACCAAAGGGAGAAAAGGCTGGCAGAAGGACTACGGCCTGCGTGGGAAGGACGGAGCGACATTGCTGATGGGGTCGCAGAGGTTGGCCGCAAACGGGTTACATCTGGATGCAACCCATTAGGGCTGACCTGCGCGTCTGTCAGCGCGGCCCCCGTGGGCGGCATGCGGCGGGGCCTCCGGTGGAGCTCCCTCGGGGCCGCGAAGCGCGAGCGGTGTGCCGAAATCGGCGCGGTCACGCATGAGATTCTTGCCGCTGGGGCCGTGGGTGGAGCTCAACACGGGGCCACGAAGCGTGTCAGACATTGGCGTGGACATGCAGGTGACTCTTGAAGCTGATGCCCTATCTATTCCACGGCGTGCGCAAGGCTCGCTGCCAGCGCCGTCAGCTCGAGAGAGTCCCAGCGCGGCCACCCAGGGCGGCAGCCGCGCTGAGCTCCGCAGCTGCCGCGCGGGCAGGGCGCCCATGGTGGGCCGCCGCAGGGCTGCGAAAGGTCGCAGCAAACACGCCTGCGCAACAGCGCCACGCGAACACCGGGCCACACCAGAGCGTCAGAATGCCAGAAATCGACATCGAGCCGGACCGATCGGACCGAAGTGGGCCCTGACCTCGGCTCACAAATCTCTGGCGATATATGATCTTGCCAAGCCGGCAGGTTTCTCCTGGCTTGTGCCTCGGGGGCCGCTCTCGCGCCCAGGGGCAACCAAGACCGGCTCTGGCGCGGAAAGCTGTCCCTGGGGAGGGGGTCGGGAGCCTCGAGGCCGCGGACTGAAAACATCAGGTCGGCGGACATCAGGGTTTCTGGGTCATTGAAGGGGCCCCAGGACACACAAATAAATACACACACATAAAATAATTCCACATATTTTCCAATATTTTCTGGGTTTTTGTCTTCCCGCCCACTGCCCATATTTTCCTATATTTTCTGGGGGATCGACGATTAATTGTGTCTGTGTGTTTCTTTCCCTCCTGAGAGTCGGAGTCCAGTCCACAAGAAGCCCTCCACAGGAAGCCCAACCCTGAGACCCCAGGACGTCCACACTGACTTTCGGCGTGGAGACGCCACGCCTTCCACAGCGCAGCCATCGAAACCCAGGAAACCCAGGGCACCCCAGAGGCAAACAGGGTGCTTCTTGGCATGGGCCCCCACTGTAGCTCGGGTCTCTGGCGGCCGTTCGGGACGATCCGGGCGGCCCTGGGACGCTCCTGGCGAGGCGCAGCTGCTGGAGCGCACCCCGAGGTGGGGAAACCTCTGGGAGCAGTTGGAAGCGACCGAAACCATCGAAAAGCTCGAAGCTCGATCGACCCTGCCTCGCCCGCCGCGGCGTCCCTGACTCCGCCTCCGCCGTACTTGGGCTGATTCTCCGCACTGGAAGTGCGATGCGAAAAAGTAGGGCGTAAATCTGCCGCCTCTGGAATGCAGGGCGGGCCCATCCGCCAAGGTGTGGCGGGAACGGCGGTGGCAACGCGGGGCGGAGATCGGCATCCGAGGAGCCTGCACGGTGAGGCGGACACCTCCGCCCTGCCTACAACACCGCCCCAGACACGGCCGAACCTCCATCGACCCCGCCTCGCCCGCCTCGGCGTCCCCTCGCTCCGCCGCCGCCCCGCTCTGCGACGTGGGCGCCAGCAGCCCGCGCAGGCGGGCGTCCAGGAGCGCGGCGGGGCGGAGGTCCGCGAGCAGCACCGTGCTCCGTGGCCGCTCATTGTGGAGGCCTCCCAGGTGGGGTCCGAGCAGAGGGGGGTCGGAGGATCGCGCCGCATCGCCGATGCACCGGCGATGCATCGCCGACGCCAGCGATGCATCGGCGCCCTCGGCGTGGAGAACATCGGGCTCCATATCGAGCCGCATCGGCGATGCATCGGCGATGCGGCGCGATCCTCCGACCCCACTCGCTCCGGCCCCATCTGGGAGGCCCAGATCCTGGGAACCTCCCATGCCATGCCAAGCGATGTCGCCCGAGGGCGCCAGCCATCGAGCCTGCGCGGCAAGGCTTCCGAGAGAGCGCGCGGGGCGCCCCATGCGGGGGCGACGCCCACGCAGCACCAGTTTGCTCGGGCGATGCCGGGGGACACTCGGCACCGAGTCGGGGGCATCGGATCGGATTCGAGCGTGCGCCGGGCCCGGGCGCATCGGCACGGGGGCCGGAATCGGCTCGGAGCAGCCGCGATGGGACGCGCTGCAGCGCCACGCGAACATCGAGCCGCATCAAAGCGTCGGAATATCGGAATCGAAAAGGATCGGGCTGGCTGGCGTCGGTGTCGAATCGGATCGATCGGGTCGGCATGGCCTGCTCGGGCGGTCTTCGTTGACCCATCGGGCCCGCGAGGCCCTGGCACGCGCGGGCCTGTGAGGCCCGGGCGCTCTCTCCCTGCATGCCGCTCTCTCCATCCTCTCCTCCCCATAGAAGTTCTCTCCTCTGCATCCTGTTCTCTCCTCTCCAGTGCTCTCTCCTCTCCATCCTGTTGCCTCCATCTCTCCATCCTCTCCTCCCATCCTCCATGTTCTTTTCCTCCCTCATATAAGCCTCTACTGGCGGGCCGCCGACCGCGCGGGGCGCGTCGAGGGGCTCGAGACGGCGCTGGACCAGCCAACTCGCAGGGGTGGTCCTTGGAGCTCTCTGGGGGAAGCTGAAATATAGGGCGAGCGGGATTGATGTGGCAAGAGTGGGGCAATTCCACTCCCCGGGCGCGCCAGGAAGACCCAGCCACAGCCACATCCAACCCGGAGTCCGCCAACAAGTCACTGGCCATCTTGCCGCCCCGCTTTGCACATGGCCCGGCAAGTCTCAGAAGCAAGCTTTCTGGCTGCATGGACGAGCTTCAAAGCGACGTGTGGATGGCGCACTGGAGTGATGTCGAACAGGAAAATGATACGCATCGCCGTCTTCGTCGAGCCGCATGCCGAATAATTCAAATCCGAGGATGGTTTGGGAAATAGAGCTGTCGCGAACAAGCGCCACCAAGCACGAAAACTACACCACTGACCTGGAGTCGCTCGTGCCATGTAAAATGACGATCTTTAAGACGGCGCATTTCAACCCAGGAAGTCGAACACCTGGAGCATAATCCGAAGAACTTCGTCTAATTCGTATGCGCGAGCCACTCGTGGTTGCGCGCGCCGCGCTCGCGGCAGGTCGTGCAGCGCCGAGGAGATGGAATAGGATCACCACCTTGAATTACGACAGTCGCCTCCGCCTCCCACTGCTTAGACAACGCTGTCAGTGACGGCGCGTTGTCCGACAAACCGGGGCTGAATGCGTCTTCGGCGGCGCTGATAGAACAAGCCCCCTCGGGGCGCGGCGCGGTGCTCTTGGACTGTCCAGGGGCGCTGGCGTCGCCAGCGTCAACGTCTACGGCGGAGTCGACGTCGCAGTCGTCGTCCGTCAGGTCAGCGCCGCAATCGCTGGAAGCGTCGAGCGCAAGTGTCACGCTGCCGTACTTTGCCTCGCCCTCATCCGACATGCTTTCCCGGAGATCCTGCGCGGCCCCGTCGCGCCGCAACGCTCGCGGGGCTCATCGCCAGAGCCTGCCCCGGCGCCCCGGCACTTCCAAGCGCTGGGGGACCTCCTCGGCCCGCTGGCGACAGCGGCCGTTTCTGGAAGCGCGCGGCGCCCGAGAAGGGCGGCCCCTCTGGGGGCCGCGGCGGAGGGCCACTCGCGCCCGGGGCTGGCCACGCCGCCTCCTGCGAGCGCGGACGTTTGCAAAGCCACCGCCTCGCGCAGAACGCCCTTGATGGTAAGGCCCCCCATGGAATCTCCAGCTTGGCAGCCGTGCCGATTGCCGGCGCGGCGACTCCCGACGTCTGCCGGCACCTGCAGCGGCCTCGCCCGCGCGGGGAGGAGGCGGGCGCCGGGGCCGCCTGGGCGAGAAGGATATCGCGAGGGGGGCCCGTGGCACGTCCCCCCCCACTGGGCGACCGCCTGCCCGGACAGGGCCGCGCCCCCCCGATGGTTTGCTCGCGGCGCCGGCGGTCATCGGACCCCGCAGGGGGCCTCCCACTTCGGCCCTGGAAGACCCGGGCCTCGACATTTGACAACTGCGCCCAGCGCCGCGCAGGGGTCGCTTCGCCGCGGGCGCCGCGGCGGCCCCTGCGGCGCGCGCGCGCCGCGCTGGCCGAAAGGCTGGTTGGCCGGTTCCCCCTGGCCGGGTTGGGAAGCGCCCGCGGCCGCAAGGTTGTCTGCGACCACTCTTCGGCCACCCTGATGCGGATGCCATTTTCGAGGCGTCGATCCACAACCCTGAACGTGTCGCACTCGCCGAGGACAGACTCGAAGCGGCAACGCAGCCCCGTCAGCCCGGACAGGTTGATCTTACGGAGCGCTTTGATGAAGTTCCCGTTCTCGACGTCCTCGACCTCGAAGTACCGTTGCTAAGTCAGACAGCTGCCTCCGCTCAGAGTCGACGCTTCAAACTGCGCCAGGTGCTGCTGGGCAGCGAGGGCCGGCGAGCAGCGGGGGCGCAAGCGGCGACGGCCGCCCCAGGCCGAGAAGGCCTTCTGGACGCTACTGCTGTCCTTCCAGAAACATGCCACCTGGGCGTAGAACGATCGCCAGGGACACTGGCTCCGGGCGGCTACTTTCCAGCGCGCACCTGTCACGCATGAGGGCCGCGGTTTTCCCCTTGCGGCCATGCTTCGCAGCGCCGCGCTCCTTGCGATCAGAACCTACTTGAGCTGGGACTCCCACGGCCCCGGCCGCCCCCTCGGCGGCTCGCCAAAACGCATGCCGACGATCTGGCAATGCTTTGTGGAGGAGCCTGGGCCCAATGCCGCGGAAGTCAGGGATTGGCCGGAATTGCGGGAGACAGCGGAGGCACGCCCACCACCTCACAAGAATTGGGATGTCCGGGCGGCAGAACAAAAGAATTACAACATCGATCGCGCCAACTCGTCGACCACCTTCTTCGGACAACTGCAACATCAAGCCACCATGTTCCGAATCTTCAGGACCCTCTGCCCAGAATCGCAGCTCAGCGAGATCCCCCTCCTCTGGGCCCCACCCGCTGGTCACAGGGATAATTATCCACGGACTCCCCACGAACGCCCGGCGTCGGCGAAGCGTCTAACGCGACGGCCGCATCTCCCAAAGACTTCTGCAATGCATGCAAGGCGCAGAGCATGGCATTGACCACCGCGTTCCCCCAGTTCGCCGCCGCCCGGCATCTAAAGAGAGCCCGCGCGCCGACCGAGCTCAGCTGGTTTGCCGAGCAGAGGATGCGCACCAAGATCGCCGAACTCCTCGATGGGATTGGGCTCGCGCTTGCGCGTGCCGGCGAATATGTTGGCGGCCGAGTTCGCGGTGAACGCGCGTGGCGGAGTTGCGCGCGCTGCCAGCACGCTGCCAAGTTGCCTCGCATCCTCGTCGTGAGAGATGCATCCCCGTCTGAACCACCGCCGTTGTATTATTACTTGCTGCGCCCCGAGGGCTTCGGCGAGGGGGTTCGGCTGCGCCTTCGCCTGTGGCTTCGCATTGTTTATCCGAGTGTCTCTTCAGCCATTTGACACCAGCTGGGGTACTTTGATGTCCTCGAGGGGCCAGCAAAGCCGTTCGGCTCTTGGCGAAAGGGCCCAGGAGCACCGACGTCAACTGATTCGTTTCGCCCCCCTTCCATTATCCACGATGAAATCTGGTCGCTGCACGCCCTCGATGATATTGTTGGCGCAGCGCTGCTGCCTGGCATGGTGGGCCATCGCCATGCCTGGCTTGACGTTGGAAACTGTTGCCGTATAGCTCTTAAAACGACGAGCCAGGCAGGAATGATATTCCTGCGGGCTTGCTGCGAAACGCATTGCTTTGATAGCTGAGCTCGTGAACTCGCGGCCGCGGTCGCGATTCTTCTTGCGCGTGGCCACGGTCAACTTCTGCTTGCGATTCTGCTTGCGCTTGGCCACGGTCAGCTGTTCCTGGTTGCGCGCCGCGCTGGCGGCGTTGAACTTGTGGACGCGAGCATCAAATGCTCCCACCTGCTTGGCACACTCACGATCTGATTGCTCGATGCATTTGCCCACGCGCAGGACGATGCCCATGCCCCCTCGGGAGGCAGGGACACGAGGGGGAGAGCGAAAGGAGGGCGGAGAAAGGAAGGAAGGACGGCGGAATGAGGGATTGGGATTGCACGCGCGTTGAACCATCTGGCCGCTACGCATAGGCGGCACTGCAGCTAGCAGAAGGCTCATGGAAATCATCCGCACGGGCACCAAGTGAACTAGTTCAAAGCAGTAAGTCCCACCGATCCCGCCCCTAACTAACCACCACCTCCATGAGAACCATCGAGTGGTAGTTGGCGGGCAGGTAGCGCTGAAAAGGTCGCAGTGCAAGGCCCTCGGCGGTCTTACAGACCGCAGGGGACTGCCATTCAAAAGAGAGCAAAATGCGCGTCTCCGACTCGCAACCGTGGTCAGGAAGAGAGGGGAGCATGGGCGGTCCTGCTCGGGCGATGGCGAAGCGCCCCCGAACGCCGAGCCATATCACAGATACACCAGTCAATGTCTGACAAAGAGGGGAGCACACAAGCGGGCAAAGGTCTGCGCACCCTGCCTCTGCGCATCTGCTCCCTCTCCTGACGGGCGGGGGGACGTGTACCCGGCGGGCGGCACGGGGAGGGGAAGCACACAACGCGTTCTGATCTGAACCAGCAAACCTTGGCGACGCGTGACCCCTAAAGGCTCAACTCGAAGATCGTCGGCCGCTCGGCTCTACCCCGAGGGCACCCGGCGTACGCGGCACGGGTGGGCGGCGGCCGCACGCGGGGGCGTTCGCTGTTTCTCTGCTGCGCCGCTCGCCGATCCCAGCCCTGAACCCAAACTCCATCCTCCCTCCCTGGCAGTAACGTCGCACGCGTCGCGAGCTTGGCGGAAGGAGGATGGAGGAAGGAGGGACGGCGGGGCGAGGTGACGAGGGGGGCGACCAGACGAGGGGCGAAGGGCGAGGGGCGAAGGGGACGGGGGAGGGGAGAAAAGGAGGGCACCCACTGTCTTCCGCGAGTCTGCCTTCCTTGGCATTCACGAGGCCTTGCCCTGCAGGTCGTCGCCTCGGGGCGGCCGCTCGGCCTCGAGGATGCAAGGCCTTCCTCCGCCCGCGGGCCAACGGTTCTTCTGCGTGCTTCATGTGGCTTTCGAGCCCCGGGCCGAACTGGTGACGGGAAAAGGGCACACGCGGCCGTCACGCGGCGACAAGGAATCCTTAGATAAGGAATCGACGGTCTGGAACCCAGTGGAACTCCAATCGTGGATCGGCCATGGAAATATGGATCTTGCATGTCACATGTCACCGCCGCCCTCGTCAGACAAGGAGCCCACCAACATTCTTAACGAACGCCCCCGCCGCATTGGGGTCTCCCCCCATGGCCTCCCATCGCAACGTCAGTAAAAGCACAGTGAGCACGTAGATTAATGATGTGTGGTGAGGACGCAAGACCCTTGGAGGCCGAAGTTGGGAATTTTGGGCGGCGGGCGAGGAGCGAACATGGCAAAGGACGGGCCGCAGTGGCAAGGACGCAAGGGTAGCATAGAAAAGGTGCGCGTCACTACTATGCGCGCTGATATATACCATCGGAGGTGAGGGGGTGAGATCGAAGTGGAACGGAGGGCCCCCCCTACCTGGAAATCGGTTTCGGTTTCGTGTTCGTGCGTGCCGTGCGTGCGGGCGAAGCGAAGCTGCGTGGGCGGGCGAGAAGAAAGTCTCCTCCGGCTGAGGCGCGGCCGGACCAAATGACTCCCTTCCGGGGGCTGGTGGCCCGCGGTGTCCCGCCGGTGTCCCGCTGTGGCTGAGGCGCGGCTGGACCAAATGACTCCCTTCCGGCGTCCGGTGGCCCGCGGTGTCCCGCCGGTGTCCCGCCGGTGTCCCGTCGGTGTCCCGATGATGACGGTGATGATGATGTCGATGATGTTGATGATGATGATGGTGGTGATGATGATGGTGTCCCGATGATGATGATGATGATGATGATGATGATGATGATGATGGTGATGGTGATGATGCTGTTGACGATGTTGATGATGATGATGTTGGTGATGCTGATGATGGTGTCCCGATGATGATGTTGATGATGATGCTGATGTTGTCGATGATGATGATGATGATGGTGTCCCGATGATGATGATGATGATGATGATGATGATGATGATGATGATGATGATGATGATGATGATGTTGGTGATCATGATGATATTGATGATATTGGTGATGATGGGATGATGTGCTGATGATGATGCTGATGATGATGATGATGCTACTGGTGTCCCGATGATAATGGTGATGATGAGGTTGATGATGGTGTTGTTGATGATGATGGTGATGATGATGGTGGCCCGAAGATGATGATGCTGATGATGATGACGATGATGGTGTTCCGATGATGATGATGATGTTGATGATGATGAAGATGATGATGAGGTGATGATGATGATGATTTTGATGTGGCCCGGTGATGATGATGTTGATGCTGATATTGGTGATTGTGTCCCAATGATGATGATGGTGATGATGATGGTGACGATGATGATGGTGTCCCGATGATGATGATGATGATGATGATGATGGTGATGTTAATGCTGATGTTGCTGATGGTGAGGATGGTGTCCCGATGGTGATGTTGATGATGTTGTTCATGATGATGGTGATGATGGGATGAGGATGGTGATGATGATGGTGCTGTTCCGATGCTGATGATGATGATGGTGTCCTGATGATGATGATGATGATGATGATGATGATGATGGTGACGATGATGGTGTCCCGATGGTGATGATGGTGATGACGATGATGTTGATGGTGATGAGGTGGTGATGATGATGGTGCCCCGATGAGGATGATGCGGATGACGTTGATGACGATGATGTTGGTGATGATGATGATGATGATGATGATGATGATGATGATGACGACGTTGATTGTGAGATGGATTGTGATATCGATAGTGGGATCGATAGTGAGACTGAATGTGAGATCGATTGTGATATCGATAATGGAATCGATTGTGAGATCGATAGTCAGATCGATTGTGAGATCGACCGAATGAAATAGATCAAGTGAGATCGAGTGTGAGATCGATCGAGTTAGATCGATCGGGCGAGACCGATAGTGAGATCGACAGTGAGATCGATAGTGAGACCGATCGAGTGAGACGTTGGTTCCCCCCTCCCCCCCGAACCTCCTTATCACCGAAGGGTGGTCGTATATGTATGAGATTACATGTTGTAGTACTATTGGGGCAAGAGCTAACTCGGATGGAGGGCGGCTCTTGTTTCAAACGGGGCTCTCGCATGAGAATTCCGCGAAGCATGCGTTCAAGAGCTTGGCACCCTGCAACGCTTAAACGGATGGAGGGCGTCTCTTTTTTCAAAATAAGACTACAACTGGGCCTCCTTGAAGGGCTCTCGCGTGGGACTTCCGCGGGGCATACGTCCACGACTTTGACATCCTGCAACGCTTAGGCGGGTGGACGGCCTGTGTGCCACTTCCAACATGTCACCCGCACTGGGTAAGATGACTTGCATGGCCCCATGAAGAGGGAACTTGGCACGAGAGAGTGCCTTGCAACACCGGTTGATGTATCTTGAATTGCCGTTGGTCCTCATCTCCAATCGTCCTTCGTCCCGTCTCCTCCTGCCCCTGGCCCTCCCCCTCCTCCTCCTCCTCCGCTCCCTGCTTCTCCTCCTCCTCCACCCCCTCCCCTGCCCTTCGCCCTTTGCTCGGCAAAGCACGGTGAAGGGGCGGAAGTGAAGATGGAGGGCGGAGGTGCCCGAGCCGAAGGAGAGGGAGATAGGGAGAGAACGGGAGTGTTAAGGGAAACGCATGCGCCAAAAGAGAGGGAGGCGCTTAAGCCGAAAAAACGAGAATGGGAGAGAGCGAGAGAGAGGGCGAGGGGGAGGCAGGAAGAGATATATAGAGAGAGAGAGAGAAAAAATAATAATTAAAAAAACGAATGATACATATGAGAGAGAGGGAGGCAGAGAGATGAGAGAAGAAGAGGGTGAGAGAGAGACATGGGGGGAAGGAGAGATTATGTAACGGTGGGAACGTATAGAGTAAACTTGTTTTTCTTGGGTTGGGAGCTGTGTTGCTAAGCTTGGTGGTTTGTGTTGTTGGGGTAAGTTTGTGTTAATCGGCTGTGCAAACATGACGTGTTGTTGAGGAGTCAGCGTTGCTTGGCATTGCGAGCTTGATGATTGTTGAGGGGATCAGTGTTGCTTGGCGTTGCCAACTGAATGATTTTGTTGGGGACCAGTGCTGCTGGATACCGCGTTCTAGAGCGTTTTTGGTCTGGGCGAAAACATCAAGATTGCGACAACGCTGTTCTACAGAAACGCTCGCGCCCGTGTGACAAACAAGGGCCAACGTATACATGGCGTGCCCAACGAGAGCCCCGCTTTGACAAAGAACCGCCTCCCCCCTCCCCACGTGGTTCACTGATGCACAGGATGCTACACATGGCCAGTCAACCCAAAGAAGCCCCAAGCGAGAACCCCATTGTGCGAAGAAGCCGCCCTCCATCCGTGTGGCTGCTATCCACTGGCCCCCTTTCGAGGGGGGGGGAACAGGCTACAACGCGCAGGTGATCTTGCCCCCTGCGACAATTCCACTGTGCAAGCTTCTTGTACTGGAGTTGTACACGTTCTGGCTCCACGGGCGGAATGATTGAAGAACGCGCGAAGGCCACAGGCTCAAAACACGGCCCGCTACCCTCCCAGAGCCATGCCCCCTGAATGTATGGAGGCGCTGGGACACGTGAACGTTACTGCTGCTCTGCGCCCCCGAGGCCGGAGGAGGAGGAGGAGGAGGAAGAGGAGGAGGTGGAGGGGGAGGAGGAGGAGGAGGAGGAGGAGGAGGAGGAGGAGGAGGAGGAGGAGGAGGAGGAGGAGGGGGAGGAGGAGGTGGAGGGGGAGGAGGCGGAGGGGGAGGAGGAGGAGGAGGAGTAGGAGGGGGGAAGCCTTCTTGCTCTTGACCACGGGCTTGTACCCGTTGTAGGTCACAGCGGGCTCGCGCTCCCGATGCCACCACCCCCTGCAAAATGCGACACGCTCGC